AAGGCTCCCGAGCATTTCTTTGCGCTCTGCGGCAGGAGGCGGCCGGCATTTCACCACCTGAGAAGAGGCGGGGGAAGAGGGCGTAGTTAGGCAATGATCGTCCAGGAAATTGGATGAATCATGTCTTTGGGCCTTGCTGGGCCCTTGTACACAAGCACTGCAAAGCCGCACATCAGAAGCATGACATTATGGCAATCCAGCGCAGGTTGGTGCTTTGTGGCTAAGGCTTAGCGCGTGAAAACATGCTCTGTGAGTTTGCATCCTTAGATTCTTAGCATTAGCAATCTTTCTCTGGGCTCGCTTTCAGGTCGCAAGAAGCGCAGAAGGTTGGACCCGAAATATTTCACAGCAGCCGGGAATAACAACATGCAAGACGGGCTAGCTTCTCGACCCTTTTGGCAGACATCGGGGGCCGCTGGATTCCCCCTTCACAAGTTGGTCAACCTACTAGTTTCGCTTGAAATCGGCTCCAAAAAGGGACATGCAACAGCATTTCCCTAATTTACATGGGGCCCCGCCGGGTGAGAACACCTCCCGTCCCAGGCCGGGCGAAACGAAGCGCAGCTCTCGCACCCGAGGAGGGCGCCCAGTCATCCAGGTCCGGGCGCTTGAACTCCTCCAAAAGACCAGAAAAGACCAGAAAACCTCCCATGTGCGCATAGAAACCTCCCATGTCCTTTGCTAGCCAAGGGCGTTCTGAAAAGGACCAAGCGTGCACATGTTCACGGCCCGCTCTTTTGCGATCGGCTGTTGCTCTCTCTTGGACCTCCGCCACAGGCATTGCTACTTTCCCCAGGTACGCTCGCCAGCGTTTAAAGACATCAAAACGCACACCAGCGAAAATCCAAAACGCACAGCTCTCCTCATGAGGCTATCGAGATCGGGATAAAGGGGGGTGGCTGTGGCTCAAACTGCTGACAATTAAGTTCTCGAACTTGGCCAAATGGGTACCCTTTCCACAAATCGACGGATCGGAAACCCGCAGGGTCCTTGAGCTCATGGATCTCGATCTCATAGCCCTGGACGTCGATGTAATGCAGGAACAGCCTCGTGCCAGCAGTCTTTCTGATGAAGTGCCCTAGAGACAAAGGGAAGAGACGAAGAGATCGGAGTGGAGTGAAGTCTGAAGGATCTGCTTCCTTCGCAGCGCTCTCTTTCACGTTCCCAAGTCCAAGTTGAGCGGCAATGCAGGAAGAAAGACAGGTTTTGTTGACGGCGCCCGCCCAATGAGACAAGAACTTAGAGACTGGAGTGCATCAACAACGACATTGCATGGGGCAGTCCCCCTGAATGACGAAATTGAGTGCAGTCCCCCCGTCGTCTCCAATCGATGGTTAGACTGTTGTCAGTTGCTCTCAGATTGGCTTGATGCAAATCAAACGGTTGAAAGTTTGCCTCTGGACGCCTGTCTGAACCCTGCTTCGTTCATGAATCATTTCGTGCGCACTCGGTTGTTTACGGTTACAGCCGCTTGCTAAAAACACAAAGCTGCATGAGCACCTGCAACGTATGACGGCAACGCATGATGTCACTACATTTTGTGAGAAATGATTGCGTTGCAGGATCTCCACTGAATCAGGTACATGGGCTGTCCGCCCACTTTGCCAATGTACTGGTACTCTGAGGATGGCATTGCAGAGTACTCCCACCCGACGACGACGTCATTTTTCGGCAGAGGTGTCACTTGAACTGAATTGCCGCCAGTACACGTACTTCTCTTGAACTGTGGAACAGGTTGGTCGGTGAGCTCCACCTTCACTCGGCCGCAGTCCCCAGACCGCCTCAGATTCTGGAGCACATGAAGGCGTCGATGGTCATGCGCCCACAGCTCCCCGTCATCCTGCCGAGTCACCCTCACCATCGGGATGTCACGCTTTTGCAGGCTTCCGTTCCTCAACTGAGCCTCAAGGTCAGCCACCAATGTCCCATCTTTGAACTTGGAGCTGATGGAATTCTGACTGAACTTGATGTTGAGGGGGTCCTCCATCTGAGTCTTTGGGCTTGAGCCACACGCTTCATGTGCCGACTTTCCCTTGCCGCGATCCATCGTGCTTGGACCTCGTGAGCGCTCACCCTTCCCTGCAGGAGGCGGGCGGTGCGCGCGGAGACGCCCCTCGTCTTTTCTGCCAGAAACACGTGTTGTCCCAGCTCGGCGGTCCCCGTTCTGTTGGGCGTCTGTTCTCTCTGTTGGCACATACTCTCTCGCAAATATCCGGGCGTGTAGGCCCTTTGCCGCCTGGGTAGCCACTGACCTTGCAGTGCCCACCGCGTCCCTTGCCACCACGACCCATGGCTGCGACCTCAAACTCGCTTGTTGAGCCAATAAGGCATGGCTGTGTAGCTTGCTAAAGAGAGCGACAGAGAAAGAAAACAAGAAGGAAAAACGAAAAAAGGGAAAGAGTGAGAAAGAGAGAGAGAGAAAGAGCCATGACTCAGCAGAAGCAGGGGGGTGAGTGCGCTTGCGCGATTCGTTACAAGAGTGGCTTGTCGTCCTTCCACTTTCGGCAAGTCAGACAGCGCGTCGTGCTGAAGGAGGGTGCCCTCTCAACAGCAGCAAGAATTGCAACAGATTCAGAACGAGAATTCTGGCCATCCATAGTCAACCTCTCTACAACATGGCCCTCTCGACGTTCAGACCCAATAAAATTCATGAAAGCAACGGTAGCAGTGGTCGACAAGGGATGGCCCATAGCAGGACTTTGGATGCATCTTTGGAGAAGACGAAGCAACATCTATCCCTGTGTAGCCATCTGCAGTGCACGGCTGCACAAGCTTCAGACCTGGCAATCAGGTTCCTATCGCTGGCTCCATCTTCCAGCGTTGCCGATCCCTTCCGACTTCGGCTCGTGGCGGCATATCCGGATCTGCGGTCCCGGGTCCCGGGCGGCGCGCCGGGGTAAAGCACGTTGTCCGCGAAGACCACGGCCTTAGCCCGGAGCTCAAAGAGCTTGCCAGTTGAAGGGACTCGGACAAACGTATACGCAAGAGCTGACGGCATCATGATCAGACCTGCATATGAACATCCTACACATGTTACCTTTGCGCCATGTTTCGGCGGAAACACCCGAGCCACAGCCTCCTCGTTGGACCCCGCCACCAGGCAGCCGGGCATCCTCCGACAGGCTGGGCTCTGCAGCATGCAAATCCTGAGGGCCCAGATTTGCGGACAGTGATCTAACCCAGCCCGGTCAAGACCTTCGGACACCTTCGGCAGGGAAACCAGGAGTACAACACGTGATGCAACACACCAGATTTCCTGCAATGCTGTGATGCTAACGGGGCACCAAAGGCAGATTTCCTCGTGCTGCCACTGAATACTACATGAACTCCTCGCACACACCGTCAAACTGACACATTGCCTGTCGCAGCCAAGCGCGACTCAGAACCGCCCTGCCTCGTGGTAGATTGTTCCTCTGTGGTCCTGCCAGCTGACCAAAGCTGCCCGGGCATCTCTTTTGAAGTCCCTCATCAAAGCCCCAAGTCCATTGCGGCCAATTGCGATTTCCAGGGTACACAATACTAAGTCTATTCTACACAAAGTATTCATTGCCCCCCGAAAGGGACATATATCCAATCATACATGTTGGGCAAATAAACTCTAATCAATACTTGGCCAGCGATACAAACAAATGAGTGTCCAAACACAGTGTGCGATTTCTTCTGTTGGAATCCCATATTCGGAAACGGTTTTGGTCCCGGAAACGGGGGAGCCCGCCTTGAGGACCGAGAAGGACCAAGAGAACCGAAGAGAAGCGAAGAGGAAAGACAGCTACTGGTCCAATTCTCAGACCCCTTTGTCCCTAACGAATCCCCCTTTACTAGTCATGTAGGGGATCCACACGCTGCAACTCTGTCTGGCAATCAAGACGCATGCTGCCATCTTCTCACTTTCGCTTTTGGACTAGCGTGCTTTCACCAATACTCTGAGATGGTTCCACGGAGTCATCCTCAAACTGCCTCCAAGCCTCACCAGACATGTTTGGTTTGACCCCCTCCCACCATCCTTTCAACGCCAAAATCTATTTGGCTTCTCGAGACCCAAATGCTTCTTTGTACGTCCCTTCAAACAATACCCCAATGGACGAACGCAAGGAAGCTCAATTGAACTTGGACTACAGTATGTGCTTCTAAAAGGGGAATATTCAAAATAGACCAAATAAAAACAGCATAATATCAAACACATTCGCTCCAGCAGCAGGAAGTCGATGGTGCCCAGCTGGCCGGTGGCCACCCAGTCGCACGCACACCTGCCATGGCTGAAACGATGGCTCTGGGGCCGGCCGTTGGTGTCTTCAACGGACCCGTTCGGACCAGGAAAAGCGATCGCGAACACCAACTCGATGTGTCCCAGCTTGGAAAACACGAGACTGCGCCATGGCAGCGATGTGTCCCGAGCTTCAGGCGCTGTCTTCTCTAACGTGCTTCATCTATCGCACAGGAAGCTTGTGCTGAGCCCGGTTTTGCTGCCATGGCCATTTGGCCATGACTAACTTCTTCAATGATTGATGGGCTGGCACCACGACGCTTCTGCGAGTTTCGGCCGTGAAGTTCGGCCACCGACAGTGGTGAAGCCGACGCATCCGAGTTGAGCCAACGCTCCAACCTCTTGACCATCACGGCCAGTCCAGCTGGAAAACGATTTTTTCCTCCGGGGGGTCGCCCTATTTTAAGGGTAGTTTGAGGGCTGACACATGGGCTTGTCGTTTTTGTCCCCAAACATATTCGGGGCGAAAAACATGACCAGGTCAGGTGTGGTTTGGATTGTCTTGAGCGCGACAATCTAGGAGAGCCCCATGCAAATCGCGTTTGAGTGCTACAATCTCTCCAAGAAAATGCTTATTCCTGTAGCAATGACTCTTCACAGGCCTGGGCTGAAACGCTAGGGGTAGCATGGAGTTCTGCTTTGTGTGTCCCTACGGGTATGTGCATGTTGTCGAACCAAGTTATGAGAGCCCAGGCTTTCTTCCCTTTTCGGCATGTCACACTGTTTTCTGGACTTTGCTTGTCAGAAATTTGGTGTCTGTTGTCTGAAAGCTACCTTGCCCATCTGCTGGAGTTTCGGGCTATCTTCTGGGAGGCACTCGGAGGGGTTGGATGATGGCGTCTCCCGAAAATTGGCTGCAACATTGCCTTCAGCATGTCGCAGCATCACTTGGACCGATGCCCCTCCACAGCCATGGGGAACTTGCAAGGACTTGCACCAACGCGCTGCACAAGAGATTTCAGCACGGTGTGCTTGCTTGAGCCACCCCCTCTCCGCAAACCTTACAACTCAAGACTTGGCATGGTCTTGAAAGGAAGCCGAAACGAAACCAACGCAATCTGACGTCAAAACTTGGCCGGCCGCACCCCACCCGGACCTGCACCTCTCCCTCCACGCCGGCAAACTGCAGCACACCGCCTGAGCTTGGGAGCCGCGAGCCTGAGACAGTCTTATCATCGACGGTTTCTACTACCACCAAACCACTGCCCCAGGATAGCTCCAAAGGACATTCAAACGCTTTGTTTGGTTGTATGTCCCCTTGACCCCCTGTGAACAGTGGTTCAGGGGAGGTGGAAACCTTCTTAGACACCAAGCCTGAAACGAAAATGGTCAACAAATCCCCCTGAAGTCGCCAAATGGCCATTTCAAACGCGCTGAATCCCGCGCCAGAAGGGGGGGATGGCCCCAAAAAGATGGCAGGTGTCTTTCGGCCCTCCTAACAGCCCTACAAGGCGGACCTAATTGTCAAACAAATACCCGTTTGGAAGGCCCAACATGCTTTGACACGCCAAGATGCTTGATGGACCTTTGGCGGGGGCATTCAGTCAGGGGGTTCAGCCCAAAGCAGTTTTGAAGGCGTTCCGATTGTTGGACTGCAACCAGTCCAAGGCTGATTCCTTTCATTGGGCTCCGTATGCTCAAACCAAGCTTACCTTGAATTCAATAGTTTACCACATCCAAGAATTTGGAGACCCTCTCAAAATCATAGGTAACCTTTGGAAGCTTAGATGGCCCTGGTAAGCGGGAAGCAAAAACCCATCCAAGCCAGCGGAACCCATCTATTTCTAGCCGAACTCCGGAACCCTAACCTATCTTACCCTTGGAATCATTCCAAAAAAGCGGAAACTTGGAACCCTAAGCTTCAAAATGCCACCCATTGAGACTCCCTCCTCATAAAACCACCGAGGAAACACGGGCTTCACCGGGCTTCAGGGCGTGCCACGTAGGCGTTGGCTGCGTCCACCTCGCAGGTGGTGACCTCAGAAACCGCGTCCCCTGGGTCGGTGCCTTTCTTTCGTTGTTTTTTCCATACCCGTTTCTTGGGCAATTGTTGAAAGGGAAACCGAAAGGACACGTGCCCGTCGTCTTGTTTGTTTTGAGTTGTTTTGAGTTGTTTTAAGGGGAACCAAAGGGAAACCACAATTTCGGAGGGGCCCAAGCTCCAAAAAGAGACACATGTGACTTGAGGCGGATAACAACGTCAACTAGGGGTTGCGCTGTGCATTGGAAGAGTGTGGAACATCTTTCAGCCATGGGGTCCCCAAACACGCCTGGTCGCCAGGCTGGGGTCAAAGCCGCACGTCGCACTTTGAGGTGCCAGCGCTGCCGTGGCCTCCCAGCTCCCGCAGCTTCTTGGCCATGACCATCGAGGAGTACCCGACGTAGCCTCGAGTTTATGGCGCTTCTGAGCGAGCAGCCAGGATTCGCGATGAGTGACATTTCGGATTCTGGGATGCGTCGGGATCGATGGCAAGGGGGGCTGATGGCCTGTGGGGCTCTTGAACTTGTGGGTCTCTGATTCCTGCAGACCATGCAATTGAAACCAAGGAATCCACAATCAGCAACCAAGTCACCAAAGCCCCTGCGGGATATGGAACATTGTGGACTTCATACCAACGACCAGTAAGACAGAAACAATAGTCACACAGTGCTCCCTGGGACTTTCAGCAAAGCGAAGCACCCCTTTTCTGAGCTCCATGCATCACATTCAGCCGGCCCATTCCACAAATGCATCATGCAGGCGATATCCCAATGGTACCTCTCAACGGCATCCGTGACTACGAGGCGAGGCCCGAACACCCAAACTCCACGATGCGGTCTTCCGGCCGAAGGCTCGCCTGACAGCGGCATGCTTGGAACCAAGTGGATCTGGCTGGCCCGATAATACGTGTTTGAACAGCCCCATGGCATACGTGGGTTGTCCACAGCCGGGAGGGCACCCGAATCGCCCGTGGACAACTTGGCGCTCATTCAGCACCCATATCAAAGAAATTATCTATCGTCAAGATTGTTGAGATGCGGCGCTTTCGCTGCCTCGAGGAGCTCTTTCTTCTGCTCCCCCTGGATCTTCAACCAGCTTCGCTCCTCACGAGGCTGCCACCCCCTGTCAGTTCCAGCAAGCTCAACATGGACCCAGAATGGAGTGGGGATCACTTGAGAAGTCGCTTACTTAACGTGACGCTGGGCGTGGATGCCATCCATGTTACTTAGTGTCGTGCGCGATCAATGCATTTCATGGCAGCTCATTTCATCTCATGTCATGAAACACTTGATTTCTGATCTTCCCTTCCGGTTCATGTCTTCCATGTCACTTTTGCCTACACCCCCTCTGAGCAATCCATAGCATTCCATGCCATTCCATTGCATCTCATCGCAGGTCATTGTAACCATTCCATCCCAACGCATTCCATTCCTATCCATTTCTTCATGTGTTGGTCTCACTTGAGACAATGTGATTTGCCAGTAACAATTCTGCCTTCTCGTAGGACTGGAGTCAAAATCCGGTCCAATGCGTCCCATTGCCCCTAAAAGTTTGCTGGCGGATGCCTTGGCCAAGGCTCTTTCTTGTAATACGCGCAATACGCTCAAATAACCAAACAAAATCATTGATCGATTTATCCATATCTCCACGATACCTGCGCGACTGATGAGTCGGATGGCCATTCGCAAACTGCACGCTGGGAACAAATCATCTCTTTTGACAGACTCCTTGCATGGCGTCACAGGCAATTTGGCTTGCTTGCTCGGACTGACGGTTCTGGCTGTGCCAATCCAGCAGGTCCTCCGCAAATTCCTCGATGACCTGCAGAGAGCATGGAGGGCTGGCACGTTACGGCGTTGACACGTTTTGACACCGTATCAACAAATGCAAATATCGGTTGTTGTTTGTATGGGGCTGATATATGGCGACCCTCTTTGATGACAAAAGGCGGCGAGGGCGCACCCGTGATCATTTTTGCATCTGCATCTGCATTGTCCAACTCGTGGGTGCCTCATGATCATGCCCCTCGCAACAATTCAGCATGCGCAAGGGACACAAATGGGTGTCTCTCTTCTCAGGGGACCCACAAGAATTGCAGTTTGCCTTTTGGTGTCCCTTTACCACAAAAAAGGGTAGCCTCAAAAAAGAGACACCATCAAACGGCAAGCAAATCGAGAATTCTAGCCGCGAACAGAAGCACGGAGGCGCGCTGCCTGGATCACCGAAGACACGTCCCCAGGGGTCGCTCGCTGCCTGGGATTCCAAGCTGAGCTGCCGCAGCTTAATTCACGCCGGTCGCACAGCATTGTACATTTCAACAAGCATCCCGCCCATGGCACTCTCGTGAAACAAACGAACCTGATCCGCTTCCCTTTGAAGCAGTGGCTTGTGATTGTTTTATTCTCATTGACCGAGTCGCGCCTGATCCACTTGTAGAGGCTCACCTCCTTCTGTGCCATCGGCCTCTGCTGAAATGCACTTTCGCTTCGCACCGTCTCCGCCAACTATGAAGGCGACGGCGGCCATAAAACAAGTCACGAAACATGCAGGCACGACAGCCAGTCCGACGTCTAGGACAACATACACCAAACGCATCGCGCGTGTGCTGCAAATGTGCACGCAGCATGACAAAGGTGTAAGAATCCCAGCAAAAGGCTCAGCAAGTAGTCAGGCCCAGAAAGCCAATCGAAGGGCAGAGCTCCACCGAAACCACAGGGCATTCTCAGATCTGTGTTCAAGCAGCCGGGGCCGGCACCTCAGCGCCCCGATCGGCACAGGGCTCCGCACCTCGCGGAAGGACGGAGAGATGGCAACCGATGAAACCAATGTGAAGTTGCGCCCAGAACAAGGCAAAGCGATGTATCCATGAAATTGAACTGCCGAGGTATTCCCCTCTCAAAGGGAAGCATTCCCTCTGAAAGCCATGCCTGGGAGCAACTACACCGACCCAGCGAAACCAAGAAAACCAAATACCCTCCTTCCAACCGAGTGCAGAAAAACAAAGTACTCTGTCTTCCAATGGAAGAAAGCAAAAGAGGTTCCTTCCGCAGAGAAAAAAACCAGAGGCCCCAGAAAGTGGGAGGGTTTGCCGAGGCCTCTGGGAAGTCCACAGCCACCGTGGCCTCATTCAGCACCTGCGACTCGATCTTGGAGAAACCGTTGAAACCACCCAAAGACGTCTTTTCGGGTTAAAAACTCTATGTTTGCTTTTGCTTCTTCGGAATCTACTTTTTCAGGCTACCTTTTTGGGGTTCAAAAGGATCAACCACCATTTTGGGTTCCCCCTACTGAGAATCCAAAAAGGGGCACCCAACAAGCAAAGACCGAGCTCTTGGAACCTGTGAGCCTTTGCGAGCTAGCCTTGTGAGCCGCCTCTGTGGCAACTATCACCGCGCCGCATTGCGTGGGCATCGCAGGCGGGCCTCCGCGATGTTGAAATTCATCTTCTTCAGCCTCCTGGGCTCGAGCGAACTCAAGTTGGATGGGTTGCACTGAGGAAACGTCAAGTTTGAACATGGATTTTAGGCTCGCAAAGGAAAATAGGTATTCAATAACATGATTAGATTCATCTTCCAATGCAGATTCTCATGATAGGTATCTTGGTGGGATTGAAGACATATGATGGCACGCGGACTTCCAAGCATACAAAAATGAACCGGCATCAACAATCCAGTCAGACATGGCAAGATTCGACTTTTACCTTGCGCCAAGTGCTATTTAACAAGCGTGTGGTTTACCCAAAAAATGAGAACCACCAAATCACACGCCGTCCAGATTAGGTGGGAGATGCAAGGTTCCAAGTCAAACATGATGCGAAACCGCTTGTCTGTGCGTCGGTGCTTGTGTGTCGGAAAATGCAAAGCAAGCACAACCACTTGCAAGCATGCAATGACGCAATGCCGAATCAATCTTGCAATGCAAACGCATCTTTGCTCATGCTCGTTGCAGAAATTATGTCAAGTGAGATGCATGCAGGTTGCAGCACTCCGATGGATGAAACACCGAGTGGAAAAGAATCAGCCCTCCACGCAGGTTGCAGCAATGAAACACCGAGTGGAAAAGAATCAGCCCTCCACCCGTCCTGGTCGCAATGAGAAACTTCCCAAGAAATACAAACCTGATCACACTGCAACGAGATTGACCCAAAACGACGACGGCGTCACGCCGGCGCACCAGCACACGCCAGCTCAGAGGGCCAGGGGCCGCGGGGAGGCAGGCAAAGCGAGGGTGGCACGGGCGCAGCCCCCGGGGAAAAACGCTGCAAGGTCACACGGCTCAGCCGTCCAGGTCAGTGTCATCAGACGACTCACCGGAAAACGAACTAAAGACGAACTAGAGGAGATCCAACTGGAGCTGTCCGAAGGAACAGCAGCAGGGGCGGTCCACCCGCCTGCTTTGACGCGCGGCGTTGGCGGCCTCCAGGTAACGAAGGCATAGACGGCATGTGGCCAGCGTCCGACATTAAATTTTGAAACTGTGGTGGATCTTGGGCGTGTGTGACAGCTTGCCAGACTTCCGCCCGCGCTTTGTGACGCCGGGGCCAGTGAGACCATGCACGCAGCGCACTCGCCCTTTGGACGAGCCGCCCATGCTGAGTCTGATCTTTTTCAGGCGCATCAAGAGCGCTTGCTGGCTCAGCTTGCACGGGGGAGGCGGCTCAAAGTGTGCGCCCGGCCTCCGCCCAGCTGCGACGCGGGCTGCCATCTTGCGCCTTGTAAGCAAGATCTGACACGCAGCGGGACGTGTCGCAGCGCAAAGGTTCGGCACTCTGCGGGCCGTGGCCCAAAACTCGCCTTGACTCAATCAACATCAGCATCTGGCCAGCCAACGTTGGCAGCAGCCGGCGGCAAGCATGCCAAGTGATTGCAGTGGCCTCCGTCACGCTAAGAGACAAAGGCGGCAGCCGCAAGGCCTGTCGCAAAAGGCCAACTGCGCAGCTGTGACAAGGAATTGGCTTGTCCAGGTTGGCGCCAAAATACGGCATCACGTAATCCAAAGTTTCTGACGCAGACGAGGAAAATTTGTGGAGGAAACCGTAGAGAACCGCTGCCAGACCTTCGTCTTTGATCGCCAACAATACCCAAAGATGCTTGCTTTGCCCAGTTGAATTCCCTCTGACCGCTGAGCATCAGAGAAGCGTAAACAAGCATGAGCCAACAAGCAACCAACAAGTGCGGCCCACCGTATTGTAAGTGGGCGTACAACCGACAGCTTACAAGTTTTGCAGCTGTTCCACTGTGAGGCATGGCAGAGACCTGGAGCGTGAAGATGCACTCTCATCTGCCGACCGTTTGGCCAGCTTGCACACCGCCAAGACAATTGGGTGATCCAAAGGCCACTGCAGGAGCAGCGTGTCAGACATTAGCGTCACCTGCTCTGAGACTGTAGGAACAGAGTATCCGCTATGACGGCCATCGGCCAGAAACTGAGACAAGCGCACGCCAGTCCAATCTTTGTGGGACAGTCCGTGCGTGAGCGTCCAGCGCTCAAGGCGCTCAACAGCGCGCACGCCAGGTATTCGTGGGGTCGCTTGCACCAGAGAAAACCAAGCGCAACATCCTGTCCACTTCTCGAACATCGGGGAGCTCGCGCCGCAGCTCTGGCAGCAAGCCAGAGGAGGCTCCAACCCGCCACGCTGCGGCAATGGCCCTTCCCAACACCAGCGATAAAGCTGTGTCTTCCAAGCTCTTGGCAGAAAAAACATCCATGTTTCCGTGAAGTGGAATGATAGCAGGCAGGGGCATGCTGGCAGCTTTGCAAATAACGAGGCCCGGCAGCCGCCCAAGCATCAACCGCAGCGTGGGCCTTCGCCCACGCTAAGGCAAGCTGAGTAGTTGCCTGGAAGGAAAGGACCCTGGTTGCAGCAAAATCCTGCAACCGCGCCAGGGGAGGAAAAGCATCAGCAAGAAGAACTCCACTGTCAATCTTCTCATCGATCAGCAGCCTGGAGACTTCGCCTGCAGGCTCGACCCCGCCAAATTTCTCAGGCAAGGCGGGGGCTACGAGGTTGAGAAGCACAGTCCTGATTTTCCATACGAATCAATTCAGCAGCGCCGCAGTCAAGCAGATCAGGAAGCCACTGCCAGACTAGAAAGGCCCATGCCGAGGGAAGATGGAAAAATAATCAAGGAGCTGGGCCACACGCTGCAGAGCGGTGGCACCAGCCTGTCCCCCTAATCCAGCCGTGCCAACCAAACCTACCCACTCCAAGCAAAGACGCCCCGGAGAAAATCGTGTGACTGGACTCAACTAAACGCAACTCTCGGTGCACATGGCCAAATTAACGGTGATTGTTGTTTCATTGCCTGGCCCTCTCTTCTGAAGACGTACCCGTAGGGCTCGTAGAATGAAAGTCTGGGCTGACCGGCATCTCGCTCACGATGTCGTCCGCAGCATCCGCATTCCTATGCAACATCGCACAGTGCAACAAATGGCACGCAAAGCTGTAGTGCACTGCCCAGGTCACCTCTCCAAAATGATTGCCAATCAAAGATAGGAAGCTGAGGCCTTTCTGCCTATCCTGCAGTTCCAATTGTCACCGCTTCAAGCGCCAGGCGCGTCCCTCCAAACGCAACTTGTCTTTCTATGGTACCAAAGTGAAACTCCCAAATGACTACATCTCGATTCCCTTCAAACAGATGTTCTGTCCGGTTTGGAACCCGCTTCTTTTGCTCTGCAAAAAACACCCTCCACAGAACCCGCGAACCCGCCTGCCGTCGCGGCAGGCTTGCGTCGCGCAGGCCAGGGCCACCTGATCCGCTTCCACCTGGCTGACAGTGTCAAAACAGGGGGACCCCCCGTTCGGCTGGAAGTTCAAGGGAAACCCAAAAGTAAACCAAAAGGAACCAAGGGCTGTGAGGCTACAAGTGTTTCTCAGAATGGTGGACCCATTTTGGTTGGCATTGTAGGGGACGATTTTGAGAAAACTGATGGGCAGGGCGTCGGAGTGCTGTCAGAGGTCCATGGCTTGTACCAAATGACAATAATCGAAAAAATAAGCTCGGGCGATATCCCCAACAGCACCACACCCTCCCAGAATCCTCGCGGAACGCCCCGAGACCATCCTTACCGCCGGTGTTGCTGAGGATGCTGCCTTGTAAAGCAAAGCTACGAGTGACAGCGCAATCTCGCCCTGGGCCCGACGGTGCAATCGGGGCCCGACAGTGCAATCAGGGCCCGATCGGGGCCCGACGGTGCAATCGGGCCCCGATCGTCCCGCGGTGCAACGCCAGCCACCCATATTATAGCTCAACGCCGGTTTTCCTTAGCATGCGGATTGCAACTGTATCTATAGCAAAACCAGGCGATGCCAGCTTAGTACAATTGACGGGGCCCGACTCGATCGGGGCCCGACGGCGCAATCGGGACCCGATCGGGGCCCAACGGCGCAATCGGGGCCCGATCGCCCGATCGGGGCCCGATCGGGGCCCGACGGTGCAATCAATTCCCGATCGGGGCCCGACGGTGCATAGTATAGCTCAACGCCGGTTTTCCTTAGTATGCGGATTGCAATTGTATCTATAGCAAAACTAGGCGATGCCAGCTTGGTACAATTGACGGGGCCCGACTGAGTTGGGCCCCGATCGGGGCGCGATGGCGCAATCGGGGCCGATCGGGCCCAAACGGTGCAATCCGACAGTGCAATCGGGCCCCGAACCGCGGAAACCGTTCTCACGCAACTTTCGTGGAGCTCAGCGTGAAACTTTGCTGGAACCTTTCCTCAGGGCTGCCCCATAGCTTTTGCAGAATTTGGTGGAAACCTTCTGACCTCATAGCCCTCGCAGCCTCCTGGAATTCTTGGAGCCCAAAAGCCCACCAAGCAGCAATGCCAAGCAGTTACCCTGCTGCACCGTGAGTTCCGCAGCGACGTGATCTGATTTGCCACAAAGCCAACATTTGCCCGAGCAAGTGAGCAAGTCACAAAACAGTGAAAGTGCGCTAAAAACTATTGATTTCGGTTTTGCTTAGTGTTCCGCCCATGAGCAAAGCGATCTTGATCCGACGGCTTTTCAGACCACGGGCGCACGACACACCCTTTGGGGCCTTGTGGAACCCGGTGGAGTCCTTGCAGAGCTTTGTGGAACCCTGTGAAACCTCAGGGCCCACAGCCCTTGCAGAATCTTGTGGAACCCTGAAACCCTCATACAACCTTACCTCAAGGACCACCCCGCAGCCCTCGCAGAACCTCGCGGGACCCTGCTAGAACCGTGCTGGAATGGAACCTTACCTTGCAAAACCTGGTCAAACCAGCCCGGACCGCTGGTGGAACCCTGGTGAAACCCTGGTGGAACCCTCGTGGAACCTTCCCCGGACCACGCCGCACCCTCGAAGAAATTGGTGGAACCCTGGTGGAACCCTCGAACGCTCGTGGAACCTTACCTCAAACCACCTCGGACCACCCTGCAGCCCTCGCAGAACCTGGTGAAACCCTGGCAGAATTCTGGTGGAAATCTGGTGGAACCCTCGTAGAACCTTCCTCAAACCAGACCACCCCAGCCCTCGAAGAAATTGCTGGAACCTTGGTGGAATTTTCGTGGCTCAGGGTCGCCCCGAACCACCCCGGAGCCTATCTGGGCTGAGACCCCAAAGCTTTCAGCTGTTGGGGGGAAAAAAAGGACAGGCTCGCTGCGCGCCACCTGGCAATATGTAAAAACATTTTAAACAATGGATGATCGAGGCAACATGTTGCGCCATCGATGAACTCGAGCAAAGAGCTGGATCAAGGGGAATGGTGTCTGACCAACTGGCGGAAGAAATTCAGGTGTGTGCACTCCCCGACTCTTTCACCAAATTTGTGTCCTTGCCCCGAAAACCACCTGCTCGACTCCGCCGGAGAATGTAGCTGACCCCCAGCCAATTTTTTATTGGAGAGGCATCCAAGACAAATCCACGGACCCCGCTCTCCCTTTCCCCGCCTCCTCTCGACGCATGCGCTCCAGCAAGGACAGGCACAAAGGCCACCGCCCCGCCTCCATGCACGCATACCTGGCTTCCCGAGGGGGCGCGGGCCGTTGGATGGCGGCTTCTGCACATGGCTTCGCAGCAACTTGCGAAAGGTTTGAGGTAGGAAAGGCCGGACATGGACAGGTACCCAACTTCTCTGCGACAATTCGTGTTCCAGCCCTGCTTAGACTCTTTGCGGCGCACAGGGCCACGCCGTAGCACATCAGGTCCCGCGACACGTCTTTCCTGACGCTGGCAGACCGGGTCTGCACCAGTGACCGTGCGCTGGAGCAAAACTCTGTCGAGATGGTTCTGTTCCTTCTTTATCGCGGGCCTGAGGAGGGCGTGTCGATGTGGTACATATGTGTGTATATACATATATATATATATGTATATATATACATATATATATATATATATACATATATATATATATATACATATATATATATATATGTATGTATATCTGTCTGATGTAAATGTGTGTATAGCTCTATGTAGAAAGCATTTGTTCAGCATTCTTGCATGATGCACTTACACTAAAACATACAGACAGAACGAACGAGTGTGCAATACCTGCATTGTGGCCACAGGAAGTCCGGCCAAACAAAGTCTCTAAGATTAGACCGATGCACCCATAAACCACACTTAGTAAGGGAAGCCAGCTGGGGCACCTAAGCAACCTGACTCGTGTACTGCACACTCAGAGCAAAAAGCTGGGCACTCCCCTGTGATTGGAATGCTAGCTGAGGCTGCTCACGGGGAGCCGTCGCTTCCCGCGCAGTCCAACATCTCCAGCGTTGCCTGCGGGCTTCCGAGCAAAGACAAGACAAACTCCCAGAAACCTCAGCCCGTCAAGTCTGGTCAGGGCTGGTCGGGGCTGGTTGGTCAGTGAATCCCGCTGCCCAAGGGGGGAAAAAACAGAAGAAAAAAAAAGACGAAAAAAAGAAAGAAAAAGCAAACGGGTCATCCACCGCCCCCGGTCTCAAAAAAAAGACGCCCCCGGCAATTGTGTTCCCGCCTCCCAGGCGCCGGCGCTGGCCTGGGTGATTTTGCCGGAGAGTGCTGCGAGGAAACCGAAAACAGCTCCTTCAATCCTGAGGTTTGACGTGAAACCAAAGGGCTTCACGTTGGGTGTTCGTCAATTCTACACTGATGGAACATCGCTATCGCAGGATTATCTTGGCTGATGGGCGATGATTCAAGAATTCACCTGACGAATATTGCGCACAAACTGATGGATTTGGCTACCCAAGCTCCGGCGATAGGATTGGCTGCTTGCTGAAAGGCAACCCTCCCTGGCACACCCTCAGGTGAGTGGCCCCTTTGTTTGACCTACCACACGCGAGCGAACACGCATGCACATGTACATTATACATGCACTACTTTCCAGCATCACAAGGCAAACCAGGATTTCCGGGCCGCCAAACGCCGCTCTCCTTGGGATCCTCTTTCTTTCTGCTGTGTGGCATTTGCTCAGCTCCCGGCACAGGCCATCATGCCGATGTGCCAGGACTCCGCATTGGCAACCTTCAACCTATTGGCCGGAGAGCTGGTGGCGATAGGTGAAATCTCGCCATCAATACCGGCAATGTGAGGGAGATTTGAGAGAGAGAAGTGAAGACTTCATGTTTATTAAAAAGCAAAAATACAAAACTCCAAAATCTATGTTGACTTATCTGGTGCGATGACTTTGGTGATGAGAATAAACATGATCGTCGAACTGCATCGCCGGCTCCCCCTCGTATTCTCTCAGGTACAAAAGCCTAATTCGAGTCAACGAATAGAGTTGCGCACTCTCTGGAGAGGCAACTTGAGACTCGAATTCTCGACCCCGTGTCAGGAAGCAACAACACCCTCAACCGGCAGCTAGTGGTGCCTTCAGGATGGTCCCTAAATTCTGTGCTCTTGATAAAACTTGCTTGCTTGTTTGCTCATTCTGGCAATCAATCATCCACTTCTAGAAAAACATTGGGCCACAAACGATCAAAAGCGGCGCCCAAGGAAAATGCTTTCCCCGCCCTTCCCCCAAGAACTTCTCCACCGCCCGCTGGGCTCGCCCGGCGACTGGGCGATGGCCAAAAAGCTCAGCGCCTCGAGAAGGACAGCTTGCCATGCGGCTCACACAAGAGACCCGCGGCTCCTATCCTCCGGATTCAGCTGGTTGGATGTTCATGGATGTTTGCTCCAATCAAAGGTTGGGTGAAACTGGTGCAAATTCATCCGAGTGAGGTTGCAGAGAGCCATTTGCCCAACATCATGATGGCGAGAAGATCACAGCATATTACAACTATAGCAAACATATGCGGGAAGCGCCCCATGGGTTCAGGAAGAGCAAACTAAACAAAATGACCAGGGCAAGACGGTCGCGGGGGCAGGCGCGCATTTTAGCATAACACAATGATTACTGGGTCATGCCCTGTGTGCCACAGCACCATGCCCTCGTGCTTCTTCAATTGTCCTCCTGCTATATATCATGGCATCCTCAGTTTGCCACTCAAAAGTCTCTAGAACAGCAGCTCAACACAGGAGGCAAGTGAACAGTGCTCTGAGTGTGTGGTTTCGCTGGCTCTTGCTTCACACAATATCAGGTCAGTACATCCAGTTTGAATGAAGCTGTCCATAGGCTGGCCCTTTTTGAACAATGCTTCCAACTAGTCCTCAGCTTGCTCCTTTGCCTCCAATCCGGAGTCAGAGCTCAGCATGTTCCCAATCTAATCCATACATCGGGCGCCGGCTTCTCTTGCTCGACTCATGAGCGCTCATGCAAGTTGAAATTTGACTGTCACGAGTGTCACCCGGACCGTCCTTCGCCTCTCAAAATGCCTCGACAGTTTCTCCGGCCAACGCCGATCCCCGCCGATGGCTCGACGCCTTCTCCCACTCGTTGTTGCGGCTGCACGCCAGGGATGCGGCCTTCGGGCAATTCGAGGCTGAGCTGGTGAAGCGGTTGAATGCCATAACCTTTGGATGCGCGCGTCCTGAGGTGGATGGATGGGATTTCGAAAGGTTTGCCACTCACCCAAAGCGGTGTTCCGCGCCACTCAGTTCCCAGGACACGACCCGACCCAAGGCGGTCTCGATCCCAAGTCGAGTCGGAGTCGGATCGGCCCATCGAATCGGCCCATCGGGCCCATCTTCCATCGAATCGGCTTCTGGGCCCCGGGCTTGGTAGGTCTCGAAGTCTGGGTCGATGCTCACTCTCGGCATGCCTTCCAGCCTCACAAGGAAAGACTCCTTGTTTTAAACACCCATTGCAACATCGTTCACTTGGTGACTTGATACTCACAGCCTGGCCCCCGGCTCGCCAAAAAGTATTGCCAAATCTATACAAACATCTGCCAGCTGAGTAGCGCCCAAGCTTCTCACACATACAAAACATTGACCCTCCAGTGTATGACCGTTATATGACAACCCCCAAGTGGGCTAAAGACACATGCGTCGGACCATGGTTTGTCTTTTGCACCGCGCCGGGACACAGCAATCAGCAATGGGGGTAAACAAGCGAAAACGGTTCCTTCCATGATCGTCATGATGGCTCAGCCTAAGCCGAGTAGCAAACAGCTAGGCAAGCACGCAGGCAAGGACTGGTCAGGCAGAAGCCAGTGAATATGCCAGGCCAGTTAGTCTCGAGCAGGGCGAAGGAAAACGCAAAGCAGCTGTTTCTAACCGAACGGAAAGGCGTCCAGGAGGACCGTCTCAGCGAACTGAGTCTATCTCTTCATCACAGCCAGTCCCGCTCGCTGGGACCCCCGGCAACAAGAGGGATCGCTCCCACTGCTGCGCGCGCCCGCAGGCCTGGTATGCAAACCGGGTTCCGGGCACCTCTGATTGTGCATGCGAATCACTCCACTCAAAAGTGGGGGATCAAGCGTGCAAAACCAAAATTTGGCGGTTGATAGATGTCTTAAGCAAGAGCTAGGCCTCCGTTTTGCAACTGCCAGTTAGCAAACGCGGCTGCAGTTTCCTTGTTGCATGTAGTGTTCTCTAGGTCAGAGGGAGGTCCTCAAAACCTTGGAAAGCTAGGAAGCACCACGGTTCAAGAGACTTGCGAATCAGCTGAGCAAACAGAAGCTTGCCTGGCGTGGAGGTTGTCCTTGCGGAGTTGCAAGTTGGAATGCTTGAATTCCACATAGACCCTTTTGAGTGTTTCTGATCGGAGGAGTTTGGCACCTTGAACGGCAAAGTCAAACGTGTGCCCAGTGTGCACCTACCCACCAACAATGAGGGGATAAAACGTCACAAAGGCTGACCGCTTGTTCAGATACCGCTCCGGGACATATCATGATTCTGACGAGTCTGTAGGTGTGTCTCAAAATGAGGGATCCCCCCAAAAAGAAGTGCTTTGGAAAATGTCTGAGTGTCTGAGACTTGAGACACCCCATGCCTACCTCCCCGTCCCCAACACACCACTGTGGCAGGCACGGCGATGGCCACGTTGTACGTGACCACGTCCTGCTCAACCTCATTACAAGGAAAGGCACAGCTAAATGAGCATCGGCGCATCGGCTGTAAACATTGGAATTGTGCACCAGATGCTAGCAGGAATCCGTATTGGCATAAATGCCATGACTGAGAACCGCAGCCTTGCACCCGAGAATATGTCGTTTCTGTATACTCAAATGTCACTGAAAGAAAGCTGTGATGTCATGACTCAAATTTACCTTGCATGTCCTGTGAAAGCAAGACACACGAGTTCTGTTGATTTTCATGTGTTGGTTGATTTCAAAGGGAAGCCTGCCCGGAAGCAAACAGAGTGAAGGAGTGGACAACTGTCACTGGCACTAAAGCCCTTTTGCTTTCCTCCGCACGCCGCGCGTATTGGAGGTAACCCCAGTCTGCCGTGCCCGAGGCGTTCTGCGACCTGACAAAACACCCGGGCTCGAAGCTTGGCTGCTTGGAATCGAGGCAGTCGATGGGAGAGGGATTGGAACGGTTTTAGAAAAATGATTTTGACATAGCTGCTGCTCACGTAGGGGAGGGGGCAGGTGAAAGCCCTCCTTCCTTTGCAGTTTTCCGGGCTGGCTCAAACCCTCCCAGAAGCAGTGCCTGTATGCGGGTGGGTAAGACGCAAACCTTCTCAGAGTAAATATCGGAAATCCGCAAGGCCCAAGTGGCAAATCACTACGCCTTTACCGGTGGCTGGGAAGGGAGAAGGTGCTCGGAACAAGCTGGTTTGCATCGACTTGCGGGAAGAGTCACAAACTCAGCCCTTCTTCCTGCAAGGCTGATCTTCGACCGAAAACCCGCCTCAGGTCGGGCCGTGCACCGCGGGAATGCAGGAGCTGCATGATCTCCGCCTGGTCCCCCGCTCGGTAGGCGTAGTAGAACGGTGTGCACCCGTCCAAGGATCGCGCCTGACGCGCTTGGCGATGACAGCGCTTTTGAGCATGGAGAAACCCATCTATTTTGCAACCTGCCTTGTTGGCAGTGGGATGTTCAGGCAACATGCAAACTTGATCCAGGCATCCTCGAACAAATAGGGTAAGTGGGCTTCCAGGATTCCCCTGTGCAAACGCCTGGGTAACCCATATGAAACCCTCCACCCTCCTCAAGACAAACATAGAACCTGCACAGGGGTTCCTGAAAAGCCCTATTCTTTCCAAGGCTTTCATTCAAGGGCACCTCTGTGTAGGCTCTATGTTTGTTTCTTGGGAGGGGTGTTCGAGTGGCCCCACTGGGCACCTCCAAGTTGGCACGGCCATCCAGCAAGGCGCGGCAGGTCTCTTTGCTGCGGCCCGTGGCGGCGTAGTGGAGCGCCGTCCAGCCGTTGCCTCCCCGCGCGTCCACCTCCGCCTCGAAAACGAGGAAACGATGCACCAAACGCTTCATTTCACTGGGTCCCTTCAAGTGAGATCATGTCGGCATTCTCCGAATTCAGCAAGCATTTGAAGGGGTTGCGGAATGTCACTTCAATTGATGCGGCTTCACCCTCACAAGTTTTGGGCGAAACTCTTGGCCAGAAAATGGCTTCTGATTCTCCCCAGGCGATGAACTTCGCATGCACCAAACATATACGAGTCTTCCGACACTCGGGGAATATTAGTGGATCCCAGGAGAGCAACAAGGCGGAACAATGGCGACAGGTTGAACATGGGTGCTGTGAGGAGAGCTGCCGGACAAATATCCTGATTTATGTACGCTTCTGCTGCCCGCGAATCCGGGCGCTCTCTGCTGCTGGGTTTGGTTTTTGGGCGTTGGTGTTGCTTTAGTTGTCATGAGTCTGCCTGGTGAAGACTTCTTGTGAAGGTCGGCGATGCGACAAGGCAGAACATTAGCAAGGCAAGGTTGGGCCGCCAACGAGGTCTGGATGCCTAGCACAATTGTCACACTGAGGAACACTCACCTTTGCTTGATCCTTCTTCGAAGATGGATCCGCAGGGTGGCCCATGTCCCAAAATGGCAAACCGACCCCTTTCCCTTCCGCTCCAAACTCGCAAGGATTCACCTTGCCAACCAGCTGTTTCGCTCTTTCCACAAACCGCCCACCATCCGCACCTTGGCCGCGAGCAAAGCGCAGCACAACTTCGCCGCGCCCAGCTGCGCCGCCCGCATCAGCGGCGTGCGCCCCGCACAGTCCCGGGAGACCAGCAGCGAGGGCCGCAGCAGCATCCTCCGATACACAACGCCCAGGCGGTTCCGCGTTTCTTCGGACGCACACCGCACCTTCCCAAATGGACTGCGCTTGAGTTCATGTTGGGTCCTTTTTTAGTGGCTTCCTCAGAAATGCAAGACTTACTTCTACATAGTGGATTGAAGGAAAACCACCAAAAGCAATTCTGGGAACCCCTCCAAGTGTTGAAGGGACGCATTCGAGTTCCGAGTCGCGCCACAAAGACCTCCGCCACCTGCTCCCGGCGATCTGAATCGCCCTCGACAGCAGCAGGCGCCCGGCACGAGGCAAGGCTCATGTCCAGCAAGCTCCGCATGAGCGGCGCCACAGCCCGCAACCGCCAGAGCTCCTGAAATCAACCCAAGCCTCCAGCCAACAACTTCCGCCCGACCCAAATAACCTATCCCCCACCCAAACCCCCATGGAGTTGAAGCAACCCTGGTGTTTGGACCACGGAAGCAACCCTCCAAAAAGACCCCCGGTCGCGTTTCGTCCGAATCCGAGGCACCCAAAAGGCGAGGAAAGAGGCGATGGTCAGCCCCGCCGCCTCTGAGGCAAAGACTTGCGGTGGCAGGAGTCGGCCTGGAAGGCGAAGGTGTTCTGAGGGGGGACAAACCACAGGAATGGACTTGACAAACAAGTTGGCTGATCCTCATCCCTTTGGCCGGTGCCCGGTAACAAACCCTCTTTTTGCATCCAAGCTTCTTTTCTTGCAACAAAACAAACGGAGCAGCCGGTTCAACGAGACTGGGGGTGTGAGAGGCTTGGGGGGCGGAATGCTTACGAGCCGCTCCCAAAGTACACATGCCAAGAAAAGGCACCCCCGCAATAGTCTCCACAGCATGCAGCTGACAAAGTGTTGATTAGCTCACTCTGCGACACTGGGGGTGTGCCAATTTACACTGAGCCTGCGTGTGAACGAACGTTTTGCTCCTTGGCGGCTTTTTTGTTGTTGCGCTTTCGTGCTGAAAGGCATTGCTTCTGATTTGTTCGTCCGGCTGCAAAGCTTCTGCTATCCCTAAGCTCAGGTTCTGTCGTGTGAATGTGTATATATATATATATTTATACATGTGTGTATTGTAATGCAATTCAATGTAATATAATGTAATGTGTGTATATGTGTTTATATGTGTTTATATGTGTTTATATGTGTGTATGTGTGTGTATGTGTGTATGTGTGTATGTGTGTATGTGTGTGTGTGTGCATGCATGCATGCATGCATGCATGCATGCATGCATGCATGCATGCATGACTGACTGACTGACTGACTGACTGACTGACTGACTGCCTGAATGACTGACTGACTGACTGACTGACTGACTGACTGAATGAATGAATGAATGAATGAATGAATGAAAGAATGAAATGAATGTATGAATGAATGTATGTATGTGTGTGTATGAATGTATGAATGTGAGAATGCATGAATTTATGAATGTATGAATGTATGAATGTATGAATGTGTCTATGTGTGTATGTGCGTATGTGTGTATGTATGTGTGTGTGTATGTGTGTATGTATGTATGCATGCATGCATGTATGCATGTTTGTTTGTATCTATCGAAATATCTATCTATCTATCTATCTATCTATCTATCTATCTATCTATCTATGTATGTATGTATGTATGTATGTATGTATGTATGTATGTATGTATGTATGTATGTATGTATGTATGTATGTATGTATGTATGTATGTATGTATGTATGTATGTATGTATGTATGTATGTATGTATGTATGTATGTATGTATGTATGTATGTATGTGTGTGTATGTATGCATGCATGCATGTATGCATGTATGTTGTATGTATCTATCTATCTATCTATATATCTATCTATCTATCTATCTATCTATCTATCTATCTATCTATCTATCTATCTATCTATGTATGTATGTATGTATGTATGTATGTATGTATGTATGTATGTATGTATGTATGTATGTATGTATGTATGTATGTATGTATGTATGTATGTATGTATGTGTGTGTGTGGATGCATGCATGCATGCATGTGTGTGTGTGTGTGCGTATGTTTGTATGCGTGTGTCTGTGTGTATGTGTTGGCCGCCGTCGTTGTGACTTGTGACTGGTTGTGATTTATGTCGGCCGTCGGATTGGTTGTCCTAGACGTCTATTCGTGTATGTGCGTATGTATGTATGTATGTATGTATGTATGTATGTATGTATGTATGTATGTATGTATGTATGTATGTATGTATGTATGTATGTATGTATGTATGTATGTATGTATGTATGTATGTATGTCAATGTATGTATGTATGTATGTCAATGTATGCATGTGTTTGTGTGTGTGTGTGTGACTTCGTTCCGCTTGCTAGCGCAGGGTTGCGGTGTGGCAGGTGTTTCCAAGTTCTCGTGATTGTCCCATTCCCAGCGGGTTTCGGACGCCTTCCCATCTTCAGGACGAAGGCTGAGGCCTAGCTAAACAGATAGCCCAAAGAGACACACACACATACACACACGCACGCAAACATACGCACTGCTGCAATTGCTTCCTCCAAAGTTCAAAGGGCCACTCCTGCAAACCCCATCCGACATTCTGCTGCAACAATCCTCTTTGGAAGATCCCCAGCTCTTCAAGGAGAAATCACGCTTCGTCTTCACTTCCCACAGCTCAAAAAGAACCGATGACGTCTGACCCTGAACCGAGTTCATTGGCCAAGATTTGGGAAAACGGCGCCTGGCTCAGCTTTGGGCAGCGTCAGCCGCCATGGCACCTGAGCCGCTTGTCAGTGGTTCCGCCAGTTCTCCAGGGAAAAAACCGGTTACTGGTTAGGATAGCCCCCTATTTTGGGTCAGCCTCACATCCCCTCTGCATCCACCAGACTCGTTCGTTAGATCTTCGAGCCTTTCCGGCAAGCGCCACTGGCGCCACTTGCATGCTCCGAAATCCAAATGCCTCTCCCTTCCGCCTCCAGCCCCTCCCGCCTGTTTTGGCAGCAGGCTCCCAAGCAAGCAGGGCAGCCACTTGACAAGGCTTCCTGGGCAGTCTTACAGAAGCCTTGAGTGGAATTCACCTCCAAAAAGAATCTTGTTTCAATTCGGCGTTGAAGTACCCCAATGTTCACACCCTCCTCTCCCCACGTGATATGTCCCGCAAGCGAGTTTCCCTCGAGGATCTGAGTTTGACACCTGGGTTTGGTCCATTCCCCGATCTAAAAGCAAGTCAGGGAAGCCCAACAAGATGCACGGTAGCAAGCTCAATCCAGAGCAATAAACTGGCACGCAAGATGAGCATTCTGTATGCACCCTCACCACGGTTTGCATCGGCAACTCTATGGCATCACTGGCTGCAACCCGTTCAGTCCTGGAAGAGCATCCAACAGCCACACAAAGAAGAGGAGGGCGGCCATCAGGTGAAACCAAGTCAGGTATTAAAACAATGCCAGCTCTGCTGGCAAGGGAACTCCGCCGGGAACCGGGGCGGGGGGTCGCGGGGGTCGGGGGGTCGGGGGCGCACTGAGCCTGGCCTTCCAAAGGCCGAGGCTCCCGGCCCCGCTTGAGCCAAACGAGCCGAGCTCCAGCTTCCCCCATTCCGGGCCTACCGCACCCCAAGGATATGAGTGGTCCACCCAAATCCATGTAAACATGGATCCAAGATTGGAACCCTCATACCCACCGTACCCACAAGTTGCAAAAATAGACAGATGTGGATGGGCTGATCTCTTCTCAATCTCGAAACCCGCACCCTGATCCCGCCATTTGATCGGCCCAAATTGAACCATCAGCCTCTTGACGGCTCCAACATGGAATGGTCGGTGTGGTTTTCTGATTTCCGGTTGTCGCCCTTCCTGATATGACCGAACCGGAATTCTTCAATGGTCAAAGCCCAGAAAAAAGGGGATCTATGATCGCGTCTCTCTCTGGTGGTACCCTCTTTAGTGGGTTTTTCCGCCAACCAAAAAGGCCTCCAACAGGAGGGAGCCTGAGTCCCACACCTTCCGTGCCGGCATCTCATCCAGCAGGCTCAGCGCCTAGTGGCAACCAGCGGCAAAAAGGGGGGTGGTGCCCCTTTTTTGGAGGTCCCTGAAAGTCCATTAAGGTTTCGCCCGAACTCACGGCCTTGACTTGTGAGGTGGGGAACCACCATACGCGCGGGAACCCACAAAAAGAAGGGAAACCGGGTATCACTGAACTGGAAAAACCTTTGGGGAGCTATTGGATAGATTCCAGCTAGAGTTAAGCCAACAACAGCATGTTGTACAGAGACAACATGAGAGACCACCGAGCAATCTCCATACACCCGTGCCGTGCTGCATGCAAACAAGCAATAAACGCCTACAAATACACGAACGCACATCACATGAATATCACATGCATTGAACGCACTGCCATGTTTGTCTGAGAGTTGTTTGTTCCCGCTGCGCAACTCTGGACCCATCACGGGTGCCATGCAACTGCTCAGAGCCGGGCCCACTCCCAATGATGCCCATGTTCACCTTACATTGTGTCTGCAGCATGTCGGATCGTGCGGATTTATCTTTGGCCCTGCTCATAACAAGAGGCCTTAATCGTTTCCTACCTGCTGAGCCAACACTTGCAACAAGTTGTCAAGATCCGACAGAGGGGAGAGGGGAGAGCGGAGACACGAACATCAGCTGGACACATGAGCATGAGCAGCGTCTCAAAACTCCGGCCTTTGCTTGTGAGGTCTGCAGAGGCACCTGCTCCGAATCCACTGGGGCACCAGGCAGTTTCGCAGGGCGGTGGTATAGCTCAGAGTCTCCTTCCACGAGAAAATTTAAAGTGAAACGATTGAGCCCCAGGAAATCCGAGCGACCTCGGATGGCCAGGATACAGTTAGTACGTTTGTGCTCTGTTCAGGTATGACACCCAAATCGGGAGTGTGCAGGCAAGAGGCTTGGAAGTGCATTGTCAACGAAATTTGTGCTGACACGGACCAACCGCGACACCTGTGAGCTTCATCTTAAAAGGTGGGAAGTCTGGAGCTCCTTAGAGCTCCATCCCTCCCCAGTTTGAGATCTCAAAACCAGAAACTCTTGCTGGGATGGTACAAATACAAGGGGAGAGCTCACAGGATCCTTTGCGAAAGGCGTTTGAAGGGAAAACCAAAAGCGCACCAATCCTCTATTTGGAAGACCCTCATTTAGGAGTAGATTCCTTCAGCTGACTATTGGTGGACACTCTTAAACGGGGCTTTCAAGTTTCCAGCAACCATGTTTCGCATGTTTGCTGGTGGTTCCCTAAACCTTAGAGCTCTGCATAGCTCTGCAATGTCACAGAGACTCCAAACTGAGACGTGCTCCCACCTCGAAGTGGCCCCCCGAGCGAAGCAGCTCGGCAGCCTCCGTCAGCCTGCCATGCGCCCGATGTGACAATCTGCGGATGCCTTGTACTGTCGTGACATTGACCCTTTGGGCACCAAAAACCCTGCTATGGCAGGCAGACATTCTACAGACAGGCAGAGAAACGTTTTGGACGATTGAAAAATAACAAACCTCCCACGAGCCAACATAGATGAGTGCCCCTCAAGTTGTGCAGTGGGTAGAGTTGAGATGGACCAAAACCGGACCACCAGCCAACCACGGCGTTGAGTCCCTGAGCCCCGGCCTCTCGGGGGCTGCGTCCTTCTGCCGGAAGCGCGTGCACAACGCGCCCTGGCGTGAGGGCAAGGGCGGGCTGAGGGATGGAACTGGCTAACTCTCTCCACGAACCCTCCCGCGATGTTTCATTTGAGGTCCGCTCAAAAGGTATGTTGGAGGACTCTTGGACTCCCAGATCGCCAGGAACCCGCCTTGGAGTACAAAACCCCACTGCTCGCCTCCTGGCACGCCCAAAAGCAAGCAAAGCCCGAGAAAGCTGCTTTGAGCACTAATACATCCGGCAGCTGCAGGCCAGTCAGCAATCCTCACAAAAGTTCCCAGGGAATAGTACTTCTGCAAGCGGTTTACCGTGATCCAAAAAACAGATATGGTGTTCGCAGAGTCGTAGACATGGGGAACCAACTATTGCACCTATGATCTTGGTCGGCCTTCTCCAAGTGACGCGCTTTAACTCCCTGGGTGTGGAGTCGCGTGCATTGATTAGAGGTGATCAAGCATGGGCGCAGCGGGCAGAAGGCGTCATCAACATAGAGTCTCAATTGGGCGCTTTGTGCCGCCTTTGAAAGCTCTGGACCTGAAAATGGTCTACATGTTTGGTCAGCCCCCCACGGCTTGGACTCTGCCTCCGCACGCATGTGTCCTTCATGTTCCATGAAAATGCCCTTGCTTCACCTTTACACAAACAGACATGCTGCCAACTCGCAAACCTTTTGATAACTGTGGAGGCACAATTTAGGCTGGGCTGCCAACTCGCATGACCTGGGCCCGGATTCCACCCAATCGCTTCCCACCACGGGCGGCCTGCAGCGCCACTTTGCCCGGTGCCACCTTCGGCCGCAGCCCGTCCGCACCGGCGGACTCCCGGACACGCGCGGCCAAAGCCGGCTGGCCGCCTGCCATGCAGTCAACCCACAAGTCCACAAGTCGGCTCTGCGCAGTCCTCTGCGAGGTCTCTGTGTGCCAGAACAAACCAAACCTTTGAACCATCAGGACATTGCACGAGTCAATGCTTGAGCTGAAAGAGCTGGGACTTCTCAGGAGAAGAATGATGGACCTCGGCCCACAAGATTCGCCCCTGGAATCCGAAACCAATCGAAGACCGCAAGACAGCTCCTGTGCCAAGGTGCTATGAAAAGTGTTGCAACACCGACAAAGCCTGGCTCTTCTGCCGCACAGGCGCTGCTTTGTTGCTAAGATGCGAAAGGCGGGTATCACAGCCCATATGTTTGCCCTCCCGCTGGTCTGCTTTCTTTTGGCCCAACACCCGCCATCCAACCATCCAACTCCTTCCCAAACCAGCTTGCCCCAGAAACACACTGGCCTCCTTTCAGAACGATTTCTGTCCTGTGACCTGGCACCCTCAACCCTCACCTGAAACCCCGGCCAGCACAGTTGCCGTAGTTCACTCCTAACGGCTTAATCTGGTTTAACAAACATTTAAGCACTCTAGTCACTTGGACCCTACCGTTCGTGGTTTGTACCAGTCATATGCCCTTGACACCCTTCCTACGCTTCACCGGTGGTGCGCACCTTCGTCACATGCCGCCTCGCAGGCCGCAAAGGCGGAGGCCGTCGGACGCAGGCCGCACCTCGCCCACGTGGAACGGATGGGATGGGCATGGCAGCCCTCACGCCTGTATCACAAATCAAACAGGTGCTTGACACGGGACAGGAGTTTTCTCCAGCTTTTTGGCAGCAGTAAACCCCACAGATTCCTCGGGAAACTCGAGGAACCACCGGGCGCGCGGCTCCAACATCTCGTCGAAGAGCTGGAGGGCCAGCTGCCACTTGCGCCCTGCCCACAGGCAAAGTGGCCCCTCGAAATGAGATGAGCATGTCGGAGACTATGTTTCAGCCTCTTCCTTTCTTGGGAGATTGGCACCTTCAAAAAGGAAATCCTGCATGGACGCCCCAATTAGCTTTCCATTGCACCCGGGAAGCCTTTGGCTTGACAGCCTCCCAAACTGGTAAGGGCCGTGAGCCCACCGTTTCAACAATCATTGCAAACGCGACATGTTCAAACTGCAAGCGGCACATCATGAACGCACAAGGCAGCATGCCTCGAATTTTCCGCCTAACGCTACTAGAACATGCATTGAAGCAGCCACTACAGTGGCCACTGAGCACGTGCGCTACCAGAAGAAAGGTGGACCTGCTGGAAGACATATCGCAGTCATCGTGCTGTCAGTGAGCTTGGTTGCTAGAATCTCGGCAACTCTGTGGCTAGCTGAGCAAGATTGCGGAATGCTATGCAGGAGGTTGTGGGAGCCAAAAGGTTTTGGAACTAGCACTTGGTGCCAGGAAATAGGAAATGCAGGGCGCTGAAGCCAAACAGGCTCACAATTGCCACCGGCACAACAACAACAAAACAAAAAGAATTCACCCTTGATGTTGAGGCCAAGCATGGGACACAAACTATTAAAGAAAGCTCCCAATCACAGACTTGGTTTGAGTGGGAGTGTTCGTCTTGTAGATGTTCGAATGCCCCGATGTGCTTGTGGCAGATGATATCCAACACTTGTCCGGCTGGCCATTCACCCTATCGACACAAAGCTCCTTTTGGCCAGGTACTCAACCTGTCCACAAAACTCAATGAAAAGGGGCAGTAAGAATCCGACCTGTCCCAGACTCGCCTTTGCTTGAGGCGACGATGGCTGAAGAGTAGCCTCGGACACCACCTGAGGAACCAAGCGGAAGGCATATCTGAACAACTCCAAGCAAACTCCCGTTGGATCCTGGAAACGACAAACTCGTCCATGCCGCCCCGCCCCCTTCCTGCCTATGACCATTGAATGCATCGTTGCGATGGACGCTCCCTTCACAGCAGAAAAGTGGCGGCTCGCGACCCCGAGGCATGCGCTGAGATGGCCTGCAACCCGCAGGCCCGAGGCTGCCGCCTCTGCCTGCAGCCCCAAAGCACTGAAAATGCTATTGCCCATGTTCGTTCTAGTACGCTTCGCATTTTGCGGACGATGCTTTTCCGAAAGCCCCGAATGAGGTCCTCCTCTAGGCTGGCACGCTTCCGCCGGAGGACTTTCAGGAAGTCCGCCTGTTGCGCAGACATGGCATCTCTGAGCATGAACCGTTTTCCGCTCTTAAACCGGAGGGGAATGGGGTCTTGCAGGGAAGCTTCACAGAGGGTGTCAAATACACCCGGGCGTGCCATCGTCGCTACGATCATACTCCATGACCAAAGGTACCATCAAACGCATCCGGGTTTATGCCGACTCCTGGCACAACACATCCAACAGTTCCAAGGGCGCTGCAGTCCTTCCAACCCGGCTTGCCCAACCGGCCTGGGCTGCGCCGCCGGAGGACGACTTCCGAGCCAGGGCCTGCGCAATGACACGGGCGCGCTTTTCCCGCGTGCAATTCAGGGAGGGGAAGAGGTTCCCATCTTAGGATACACGGGGAATCAAAGTCTGACCTCCCCACTTGCGACCCCAACAAGTAGGCAGGGGGCAGCCAAGGAACCCCCCCTCTGTCGGTTCAAAGAGCCTGCTGGGTCTTGGCGTCTGATTAGTCGCCGCTCCTAAGATCCTCATCTTGGGTCAAGGATCCTAGCGGCAATGTTGCTCCATGCATTGGCTTAAACATGTGTGGCGCTCTTGCGAGAAATTGCACACCTTGTTCAGCACATTTCACTTGAATCACCAACCATGTCTCTTCGGTCGACTCCTCATTGTGAGACAATGCCATTTGGGCAAACCAGATTGACTTTTGAATCATATTGCCTTGCTATCTATCCACCCTCGATGATTTTTGGAAACATAGCTGGGGTCTGCAAATGAATTGAGAACCAAACTGAAGCATTTGAAGGTTTTCTCCATAAAACACATCCCAATTGGAAACCGCCCTTTCTGGGGGGAACCCCTCAATTTTCTCACACACAGTTGAAACGACAGTATATGGCACAAATCCTCCATGTTGGGTTTAGTCACCCCTTTTAATCACATAAAGAAAATTGCACCATCCAGTCTTACTATGGTGTACCCATTTGACAACCGTCGCCCGGTACCGAACCAACCGCCCAAATCCCCGGCCAGCAGCGCGGGGGTCACAGCGGCCAGGGCCACGCGATGCCGCCGCAGTCTCGAAGACGCCCTCGGAAAAGTAGCCAGGGTCAGCCCGAGCCCGAAAATCAAAATACACAACCGTATTGCAACATGCATTCAAATATGTGGGTGCATTATTCTCTATACATGCATATGTATATGTATATACACACATATAGACATATTAATACTACGTATCTATATATATATATATTAATATATATATATATATGTATTATATATATATATATATAGAGATGCATGTCCACAACCTACCAACATCTATATTTCACATGCGGAGCAGCCCTGGTTTTCAAGAACTGAGAGCATCTATCCAAGCATTTGGCAGCGTGTTTTGCAAATCTTGCACAACATGTTGCCTGGACCAATAGACAAAAACAGGAGAAAGGAGTTCGAATCCCCACCACGGCCAGAATGTCTTTGCTGTTTTGCTTCGTAGTTTGCCTGGTGGCTTGGTTGTTTGGCTGTTGGTTGCTCGCTCGTCTGGTTATTTGGTGTATTGGTCGATTGGTTCCGTGGTGCATTTTTGTATTGGTCCATGCAGCATTTAAGCAAATGGTGCGAAACAGGGCAAAGTTTAGGCATCAATTGGCTCTCGCAATGGCTCTCGCACCCTTTTGCCGTGAGACCGGGGCTCCATTGGCCCCGCAAAGCACCTTCGGGTCCCGAAGCCTTTGCCTTCCCGGGCTTGCCGGGCTTGCCATGCCAAACCCGGAAACCCCGCGCCCCTTTAAAACACACCGCCTCGGAACCAGATTTGGTCCGGGCCGACTCTCGGCCGGACCCCTGAAGCTCGGTGCTTAACGCGAACCGCCGGCAAGCTGCGGTTCGATGGCCACTTTTGGACCTGGGGCTGGCCCTGGACATAGGCCAAGGCGCCAGTGCCTCGATTCATTCCATGCAGGCGACCTCAACGCGACTGCCAGAATACTACAGTCACTACATACGATCAAGCCACAAATGAGTTGGCATTGCGGGATGTAAACCTGGTCAGATGTCAGAATCATCGCTCCAGGTCGTGCAAGACATGTCGGCCTGGGCCACTGTGCTCAGCCATCACTGGCTGCTGGCGCCACCTCCGGCTACAAGCTGGAAACGGCTCGGTGTGAGACGGTGCCAGCGGCAAGCAATCGCTCAGTTTCGAAATGACGGCAATCCACGTCCATTGAACAGCTGCAAAAAAAAAACACTCTTTGGCAGGGCTTGTGCGTGTGTGTCTGTGTGTGTGTGATCATTGATGATGTGTTAGTTTTGCGCGATTAAACCATCCCTACAAAAAGATTCGCCATGCTATGAAAATATCCATCCTTGAGCTTCTGCTGCCACACACCTGAACGGGGCGACGCCGCGCCGGTTTGTCCGTGCGCCGCGTTGCCTTTTTGTACACATCAATGCTCCGCATCTGAGGAATGGTCGTCTGACCTCGGAGTCTTCAAATCGGGTTCTGAGGCAGCGCGTCCCAAGAAGCACACAGCAGACACAAATGGCGCGATCAAATTTAGGCACTTAAATCGCACATGTTGGGGCCATCAAAGACACATATGATTGAATATGTAGAGTATGGGGCACACTCACAATGCAAGTCTGGAAAGTATGCACCACCCAGCCAGTCATTCCAGCCGAAGATGCGAACCACTCCTCCTCTTGGTACCAACATTCTCCCAATCCTCCCCCCTCCAACCCACATGTGGTCGGAAAGACTTTTCCATCCCACCGGCACCTTCCCAAAAATGGGAAAGGCGTCACAACCTCCCTCCACCGACCCCTTGTCCCCTTATGGGGGCAAGCCTCCGCAAAGCAAGCCAAAGAAGCTAAAGCGATCGGATCCGACTCGAGCCGAGCGGCTGGGAACTGCCCCCGGACTGCTGCGACACTCCCGAGGCCATGGAGGAGCCCTGGTTGGTGCCCCGCTTCTTGCCGCTCATCTTCCTCAGGGAAGGACGATCCAAAGAGAACAAAACCTATGCTCTCTCTGTCGCTCTCTCTCTCTCTCTCTCTCTCTGTCTCCCCCAGTTCTTCAGTTCTTGTCCTGGTTTGGAGGTGTAGTATTGTAGTGTTCCGCTGGGTGCTCTACGTGTTGAAGTTTGTTGATGACGATGCTTGTCTGTGTGTGTGTGTGTGTGTGTGTGGGGTGTGCTTGCTTTGTTCAGTTCTGAGCCCTGACCACATGACCAGTGCATGAGCTTTCTTGGGGGCCAGTAACCCCCGCTGGTCTCCGCAGTGAAATTCCTTCAGGGGGTATGGGGTATGGGATGGTTGGTGGGTGTTGTGCCCCTCACCAGCTGACCACAAGAAAAGAATAGACTTCAATAGAATACTTGGACTGGTCATGGATACTGTCCCAACTCGGATTGGCCAGTCTCCGGGTCGAGAGGTGTATTTGCGGAGACATTGGTCTTCGCAGGGTCCAGCTGCCAATCGTTACGTGAACCCGTCTGAATCGTTCCCATTCGTGTGGCTCAGGGTGCAAAGCTCAGGGTCTGCGGAGGAGGCGTCCTTGCAATCATTGTCCAACTACCGCTGGCAGCACCCCGTCTATCCACCTCTTCCAACATCCATGTGGCCTCCCCAAACAGGGCCACGCGGCTTGGTCGCCCTGAGGATGATCTTCTCCAAGCGGTCCAGCTTGTCCTCCGCCTCGTCGCCGTGCTTTTCGTGGTCATCTGCCGGCCACGGCATCGCCGGCGATGTGGACCCCCCAAAGCGCCGGATGTTCTCCACCTGGGCACGCGCCAAGTCGCAAGCTGCTCGCGACCCGGGGAATGCGTCGAAATTCAGGCAGTAAACACCGAACCTGGCATGAAGATCAGTTGGGAGACAAGCTGCTTACAACGGCGGCCACAAAAAAGATTAGAAATGAACATCTCCTTTGGACGTGCACCCTTCCAAGCTCCAAGCCACAGATCCACAACCAATGAATACTAATGGCCAACATGCAGACACATCGTATAGCGGTTGGTTCTCCGTTTCAGGTCAAACGCCCTCCCACAAAAAATGGGCCCATACCGTGTAAGCTAGCACGGCAACCGTGGCAAAGTCTGGTTGGAGTTGGTTCTTGAAGTTCCACGTCAGTTGGAAGGATGGCTAGTCTGCTTTTCAGGCTTGCTGGCTGAGTTAAGAAAGAAACAAAAATATTGCTGCATCGATGTTCAGCAAACAAATATCCTGTTTGATCTTTTTCGGTGGCTGCTGTGTTTGCACCTTGCTTGCTGGAGGTGTAACTTCGGTTGTGACTAGGTGCATTGATTTACTGCATAATCTGTTGCGAGCTCACCCCGGGTACAACAAGCTCACCATGGTAAAGATCCTTTACTTGGGGATCCTCTGCACCCCCATTGCCACTTGTAACTAAGTTTGTTTACTTCCTGGAGTTTCTGCCTTCTGCCTTCTGCCGTCCTGCTTGTTTCGGTTCTTTGCTGGCAAGACCTTGAAATCAGTGTTCAACCCGACTCCTCAATCAGCCTGAACAAACCTCAAATCAAGGCAAAAACCATCTGTCTGAAACGCAAGAAAGCATTCAACACGCCGTGCATCAACCTTGCCAATAAAAGACCAAAACACCAACCCCCTATCCACCAAATGCCCGAACGCCCACCCTACCGAACGACAACCCTGTCATCCCTTACATCATAGGAATCCCCTCCTGGAGCTCTTCGTTTTCTGGAAATCGCCACAAGTCCTGGTTTTGCCGCAATTGCGGCGCTTTCATCAAAACGCGTTCAATCGCAGCTCCATCCCCCAGGCTGTTTCCCGAGAGGCGGTGGTCGGGTGCTCATTGGCGGGTTCGGTCACCTGCCGCTAGGCAGGGGCAAGCTGCTGAGTCCCTCGTAGCTTTCCACAAACTTCGGCCGCCCGCCGTTTGCACAAACCGATGTGGACAAGTTCCCATACGCCTTCCAAGCACCTTGCAGGCTCATCAGCAAAACTTATTGCGAAGAATTGCAAGCCCACAAGTGCAGGCGACTGCGGAGTCTTCAAGCACGGACATGCACAGAAATGTCATTCGACTCCAAGGAGCTACCGGCATGGCGGAGTAAACAAGTGTGCGAGGGCACCCCCTCCACCCCCCCTGCCACCTGTCCGGCGGCCATTTCTATTACAGTATTATGTTTCTTAGGTTACCTCGGTCAGTGCCAACTCCCTGCTAGCAACCGCCTGGATCCCGCCCGCCAGGCCCACGTCCCCCTCGTTGAACTCCAGACGCTCCTGACGAACGCGACATAAGCGCTGGTATTTAGATGACTTGTCAGAGCACGAGCCACTGGAAGGAATTTGTGGTTCCTTTCATAGGCAGGACATAGATGTTCCCTTCAAATACCCTCTGCACATAGTGCTGAACAAGCGCTGAAATGCTATTATCGTTGCCGTGGTGACACGATGGGTGGATGTGAGTGTGTCTTGCCTGTGTGTGCGCTCGCGTTTGTGGCTGACTGGGAGTGTTCAGCTTCACACTTGTTGTCATCGCCAACTATTGGGCTACTTCCATGCTGCTCTGGTCATGCAACAAGGTTGCATCGATAGCCCTCCAGCATGGTGGACAAACTGTTTCATGCTTCTCGGATAACGCTGCAAGGAGCCCTGAAGTCGTGGAAAGAAATGGCCTTGGATTAAGACCTGATCTCGCCCACACAGGCCGCAAATCCAGGAATTTGCAAAAACACAAAAAATACTCAGAAAAAACCCAATCCGAAAAACTCAATCTGAAATAGTCTGAATCTGGGAAGACTCAAAAGAAACTCAAAAAAAACTCAAAACAGACTCAAAAAAAACTCAAGCAGGGGTCTGGGGAGGGTTCTGGGGGTGGGGGAGGGGCAAAATGCAAAAACAACCGCAGAAAACACAAACAATACTCAAACAAAACTCAAAAACAACTCAAAACAGACTCCAAAAAAAACTCAAGCAGGGGTCTGGGGAGGGTTCTGGGGGTGGGGGAGGGGCAAAATGCAAAAACAACCGCAGAAAACACAAACAATACTCAAAAAAAACTCAAAAAAACTCAAAACAGACTCAAAAAAAACTCAAGCAGGGGTCTGGGGAGGGTTCTGGGGGTGGGGGAGGGGCAAAATGCAAAAACAACCGCAGAAAACACAAAAAAAACTCAAAACAGACTCAAAAAAAACTCAAGCAGGGGGCTGGGGAGGGTTCTGGGGGTGGGGGAGGGGCAAAATGCAAAAACAACCGCAGAAAACACAAAAAAAAACTCAAAAAGAACTCAAAAAAAACTCAAAAAAAAACTCAAAACAGACTCAAAAACAACTCAAGCAGGGGTCTGGGGAGGGTTCTGGGGGTGGGGGAGGGGCAAAATGCAAAAACAACCGCAGAAAACACAAAAAAAACTCAAAAAGAACTCAAAAAAAACTCAAAAACAACTCAAAACAGACTCAAAAAAAACTCAAGCAGGGGTCTGGGGAGGGTTGGGGGAGGGGCAAAATGCAAAAACAACCGCAGAAAACACAAAAAAAAACTCAAAAAAAACTCAAAACAGACTCAAAAAAAACTCAAGCAAAGGGGCAAAATGCAAAAACAACCGCAGAAAACTCAAAAAAAACTCAAAACAGACTCAAAAAAAACTCAAAACAGACTCAAAAAAAACTCAAAAAAACTCAAAACAGACTCAAAAAAAACTCAAGCAGGGGTCTGGGAGGGTTCTGGGGGTGGGGGAGGGGCAATATGCAAAAACAACCGCAGAAAACTCAAAGAAAACTCAAAACAGACTCAAAAAAAACTCAAAACAGACTCAAAAAAAACTCAAAAAAAAACTCAAATCTCCTGCTGTGCTTTTTGTTGTGTTTAGTTTGAGTCTCCTGCTGTGTTTTTCTTGTGTTTTTTTTGAGTCTCCTGCTGTGTATTTTTGTGTTTTTTTGAGTCTCCTGCTGTGTTTTTCTTGTGTTTTTTTGAGTCTCCTGCTGTGTTTTTCTTGTGTTTTTTTTGAGTCTCCTGCTGTGTTTTTCTTGTGTGTTTTTTTGAGTCTCCTGCTGTGTTTTTCTTGTGTTTTTTTTGAGTCTCCTGCTGTGTATTTTTTTGTGTTTTTTTTGAGTCTGTGTTTTCAGTTGAGTTTTTTGGCTGAGTTTTTTCTGAGTTTTTTTTGAGTTTTTTTTTGTTCCGCTAAAACCTCTCCTGTCTGAGCCCGTCTGGTCATAAGCCTTGGACGACTGAAACGAGTGATGTCCAAACACCCGGGCGGGCAACCACAGGCAACTGCTGCAAGGGCTTGACAGCAGGATGACAGCAGGAATATCACAACTCCAAACCATCAGGAGTGCCCCGCATGCAATTCTGGAGGCCCAAACTAAACGGAGGGCCTCAATTCACAGACCAAACCACCGGACAGCGCCGCCTCAAAGCGGAGGGTCTCCAGGTACTTGTGCCAGCGCTTCGTGGAGATACCCTCTAGCGCCGTAACCTGGGCTAAACGGGACAGATGAGTCAAAGGGGGAGCCACCAACATGGGGTTCCCTTTGCTTTCCCTTCAAACGAACCCAGAAAGGCTCAAGGGAAAAACAGCATCTTCAATGTTGAACCCTCTCTGAAACCCCCATGGTTGTCAACAAGAAAACGACGCGCAAAACGACGCGCCTTCGCAACAAGCTGAACTTTATAGCTTGTCCGCTGTACCCAGAGCTCATTGATCAGAGAGCCTACGAAGGGGCACAGACTTGCCGGAAGCCACGCAACAATTGGCTGCCTCTAAAATTAATCTCCCCATGCGAGCCAGCTCGGAAGTCAACCGTTCAGTCCAGGTCACCCCCCATAGCCCCCTGGGCTTGGGCTCTTAGGCCCCCACGATGATGCTTCCTCGGGTGAGGCGCGCATAGCCCACCATGTCATCGTACACAGCCCCATAGGCGCCGTTCAACTGGGCCACCAAGAGGTTGAGGAGGAAGATCTCGGCACACCCCACACTCCCGGCGGGGTGGGCAGGACTCTATATCGGAAAACCCGCACCAGTTTCTGTGAGAAGCTTATTGAAAAGGCGCTCGGTGCGGGCGCGGAAGTTGTGAATGTGGGAAAACTGCAAACGCGTAAAACCTGCTTCCACGCGCGTTCGAGAACAAAACCCAGGCAAATGTGGCATCCAAAGATGTGTGAACATCTGATCACTCTTTGCACAGCTGGGGAGAGATGTCCAATAAAACAAATCCGGGAAAGAGGAAAAAAGGTTAGGCCCCGGTTAAAGCCTGCAAGGCTCGACAGTCTTGCCAGCTGCCACTGCAACCTTCTGTCGTGAGGGACCCAAGGAAGAGATGGGATCGTTGGCGTTCCCTTTCGCCTCTGGCCAAGCCGCAATCACCACAATAATGAAAAGACTCACAGTCAGAAGCACCGCGACTTCCTGCTGGATCTCGTCAAAGTGCTCAGAGGGGAACATCCCCAAAGAGATCTCCTTGCACGAAGGCCGAAGTGGGCAAAACTGGTGCAACACAAACAGCTGAGGCTTTTGTGTATTTGATGCAGTGTTGGTTCACAGAGTGCCCAGAGTTCTGCATGTCATGTGACAATCTGACAGGCAACCAGGCTGGAGGGTCTCTATAAAGCTAATGAAGGTAGGCGGCCATCAGCGAGAGGGCACCCACCGGAATGTTGGTGAAGTCGCTGCAGGTGTGGTTCAGCCTGACAGGCAATGCAAAATGAGAGAGAAAGCGCCCGGGTGATACTTGTTTGCAGCGTGCAGCTTGCCCAAATGATGATGCGACACTAGTTGACCCAGAACCCTGCGGGTCTTGGTCAAGCAGCGCACTGATTGAGCTGGAGAAGGTGATGATCAGGAAGATCAATGAGCCTGGGAATGCTGTGAGCGCAAATTTGTCTTGCTCCGCAAGCGCAGCTGCGCTTTGTCCAAACACAGGTTTTACGCGCAGACCCCTAAATTGTTGAAAGGCCTGCTATGCCAATAATATGGGGCCATGGAGCGCATCTTACCGACTGGGCAAGAAGACTGCAGGTTCAAGTCCTGCTGGCCCTAGGCCACTCGGAATGTGCATCTTCAACACAATCTGGCTTGAGACAGCCGTGATGTCTCGGCTGCGCTTTTCAGAATTCGTGTTGTTTCTGAAGGGCATCATCACCTCTCAGCTTGATCAGGGTCGTGGTGGAACAAACTGACAGCAATCTTACGCCGGTCTGACCCTCTGGCCGACAGAAGAGCAAGAGAGGAAAGCCCGCCCCGAACTCATGCCGCGAGGCCCACGAAGAGCCCCAGTTCGCTGAGCACTCGCCCGCAAACCAAGGTGAAGGCCTTTGCACACCGACAGGTCCGACAAACCAGAAGGGGTGGGGGGCCGGCGTGTCGTGTCATAGGCGGGTGGCGCTTGAGTTGATGCAGCTTGGAATGGGGGAAGCTCCTGAACCAGCCCTGTTCCTTTCCTGTAATCCGGGCCACTGCACGCAAACCTTCAGGAGAACAACCTTGTAGACTTGACGGGGCCTGAAGCTACCTGCCCCTGCATATGCACGTGAATATGGATATATTGGGTGACCCGGGCCCCAGGCCGAAATTTGCATGGAGAAGATAGTGAGGTCCAGCAGCAGCGCCCAGTACAGCAGCATGGCCGCCTCAAATGGAGGAAATCATCCGTACCCGGGAATCCTTTTGCTGGTGCCAAATCGAGCTTCCTGTGCCACAAGAACTGCATCTGCTCGCCCACAAGTCCAAGAGCTACACAGCACATGTCAATGACTTGCAAAAGAATAGATATTTGGCAGTGGTGGGAGCGTACAGTAAGGAGAACGTGACAAGAAAGTCATGGAAAAGCAAAAAAAAAGCGACAAACGAGGTCGCAATCGGAAAGTGGCCAGGAACTACACACAAACAAGAAATGCCAAGCGCAACTTTACCCGAGTTTGCTTTGGTTTGCCAGGGTTCTGATGTCAAGGTACTGGAGAGCTGTGAAGCCCCCCTCAACCGACCATGGCATGGGCCCCAGCTCACAGCTCCCAACATTTTTTTGGAAAAAGCGGCCATGGACACTGTCGCGTAGACCTCGCTCTGCTCTTGCCCACAGTGCTGGGTGAAGAGTGGCCCCTGACACTCAAGGCTTGTGATCAAGGCTTCCCTGGCCTTGTCTTGCCCATTTTTTTCTTTTGTGTCTTCTATGGACTTGACCTTATAAACCACCTGTCTCACAAGCAGCGCTTCCTGGCCAAAGTTTCCCCTCTGTCACATTTAGGATCACTCGGAGCAAATTCACGGTGCAAGGCAACCAGTCGACCCCCGGCCTCCCCCTTGCCCATGCAGTGGAAGATGGGGTCCTGAAAGGAACCCCCAAGTGTCCGAAGTCGAAGGCATGCCAAGCTGCTCAGCTTGCGTGATTGCACGCGCACACGCACACACAACAAGCACAACCCAGAGGTTCCCCAAAGCCTGGCCCCAGCCCCTTGTTGAAACCATGCAACTCCCCGCTTGGGGGAACGAATCTGCCAACTCCCGGCCTGAGTGCAAAGAATCAACAGGCACAGCATCAGTGCCAGATTCCCCACTTGCATCATGCTGGTGAGGTACTGCGGGAAGGGAAGGCACCCGAACCTCGCTGACTCTGCCCCCAAGGCGCCCTGAGGAAGGAAACCTATCTGTACTCAAAAACCACCTCTAGCGCCTAGTGAATTCAATTTACAGGCAGCCTGTGTTCCGGTCCCCGTGTTCAATGCATCATCCCCGGCCATCAAGAACTTTCTCCCCACTCCAAACAACCAAATACTGTATGCACATAGTCACGTGCGCGTGTGTATGTATATCTGTACACATGTAGGCGCATGTTTGCGTACGTAAATAAATACATGTTTGCAGGCATACATACATACATACATACATACACACATACATGCATGCATGGATACATACATTACATTACATTACATTACACTACACTACACTACACTACACTACACTACACTACATTACATTACATTACATTACATTACATTACATTACATTACATTACATTACATACACACATGACATACATGACACACATGACATACATGACATACATGACATACATGACATACATGACATACATGACATACATGACATACATACATACATACATACATACATACATACATACATACATACATACATTACATACATACATACATACATACATACATACATACATACATACATTACATACATACATACATACATACATACATACATACATACATACATACATACATACATACATACATACATACATACATACATACATACATACATACATACATACATACATACATACATACATACATACATACATACATACATACATACATACATACATACATACATACATACATACATACATACATACATACATACATACATACATACATACATACATACATACATACATACATACATACATACATACATACATACATACATACATACATACATACATACATACATACATACATTACATTACATTACATTACATTACATTACATTACATTACATTACATTACATTACATTACACATTACATTACATTACATTACATTACATTACATTACATTACATTACATTACATTACATTACATTACATTACATTACATTACATTACATTACATTACATTACATTACATTACATTACATACATTACATTACATTACATTACATTACATTACATTACATTACATTACATTACATTACATTACATTACATTACATTACATTACATTACATTACATTACATTACATTACATACATACATACATACATACATACATACATACATACATACATACATACATACATACATACATACATACATACATACATACATACATACATACATACATACATACATACATACATACATACATACATACATACATACATACATACATACATACATACATACATACATACATACATACATACATACATACATACATACATACATACATACATACATACATACATACATACATACATACATACATACATACATACATACATACATACATACATACATACATACATACATACATACATACATACATACATACATACATACATACATACATACATACATACATACATACATACATACATACATACATACATACATACATACATACATACATACATACATACATACATACATACATACATACATACATACATACATACATACATACATACATACATACATACATACATACATACATACATACATACATACATACATACATACATACATACATACATACATACATACATACATACATACATACATACATACATACATACATACATACATACATACATACATACATACATACATACATACATACATACATACATACATACATACATACATACATACATACATACATACATACATACATACATACATACATACATACATACATACATACATACATACATACATACATACATACATACATACATACATACATACATACATACATACATACATACATACATACATACATACATACATACATACATACATACATACATACATACATACATACATACATTACATACATACATACATACATACATACATACATACATACATACATACATACATACATACATACATACATACATACATACATACATACATACATACATACATACATACATACATACATACATACATACATACATACATACATACATACATACATACATACATACATACATACATACATACATACATTACATACATACATTACATACATTACATACATACATTACATACATACATACATACATACATACATACATACATTACATACATACATTACATTACATTACATTACATTACATTACATTACATTACATTACATTACATTACATTACATTACATTACATTACATTACATTACATTACATTACATTACATTACATTACATTACATTACATTACATTACATTACATTACATTACACATTACATTACATTACATTACATTACATTACATTACATTACATTACATTACATACATACATTACATTACATTACATTACATTACATTACATTACATTACATTACATTACATTACATTACATTACATTACATTACATTACATTACATTACATTACATTACATTACATTACATTACATACATACATACATACATACATACATTACATTACATACATACATTACATTACATTACATTACATTACATTACATTACATACATACATTACATTACATTACATTACATTACATTACATTACATTACATTACATTACATTACATTACATTACATTACATTACATTACATTACATTACATTACATTACATTACATTACATTACATTACATTACATTACATTACATACATACATACATACATACATACATACATACATACATACATACATACATACATACATACATACATACATACATACATACATACATACATACATACATACATACATACATACATACATACATTACATTACATTACATACATACATTACATACATACATACATACATACATACATACATACATACATACATACATACATACATACATACATACATACATACATACATACATACATACATACATACATACATACATACATACATACATACATACATACATACATACATACATACATACATACATACATACATACATACATACATACATACATACATACATACATACATACATACATACATACATACATACATACATACATACATACATACATACATACATACATACATACATACATACATACATACATACATTACATTACATACATTACATTACATTACATTACATTACATTACATTACATTACATACATTACATTACATTACATTACATACATACATTACATTACATTACATTACATTACATTACATACATACATACATACATACATACATTACATTACATTACATTACATTACATTACATTACATTACATTACATACATACATACATTACATACATACATACATACATACATACATACATACATACATACATACATACATACATACATACATACATACATACATACATACATACATACATACATACATACATACATACATACATACATACATACATACATACATACATACATACATACATACATACATACATACATACATACATACATACATACATACATACATACATACATACATACATACATACATACATACATACATACATACATACATACATACATACATACATACATACATACATACATACATACATACATACATACATACATACATACATACATACATACATACATACATACATACATACATACATACATACATACATACATACATACATACATACATACATACATACATACATACATACATACATACATACATACATACATACATACATACATACATACATACATACATACATACATACATACATACATACATACATACATACATACATACATACATACATACATACATACATACATACATACATACATACATACATACATACATACATACATACATACATACATACATACATACATACATACATACATACATACATACATACATACATACATACATACATACATACATACATACATACATACATACATACATACATTACATTACATACATACATACATACATACATACATTACATTACATACATACATACATACATACATACATACATACATACATACATACATACATACATACATACATACATACATACATACATACATACATACATACATACATACATACATACATACATACATACATACATACATACATACATACATACATACATACATACATACATACATACATACATACATACATACATACATACATACATACATACATACATACATACATACATACATACATACATACATACATACATACATACATACATACATACATACATACATACATACATACATACATACATACATACATACATACATACATACATACATACATACATACATACATACATACATACATACATACATACATACATACATACATACATACATACATACATACATACATACATACATACATACATACATACATACATACATACATACATACATACATACATACATACATACATACATACATACATACATACATACATACATACATACATACATACATACATACATACATACATACATACATACATACATACATACATACATACATACATACATACATACATACATACATACATACATACATACATACATACATACATACATACATACATACATACATACATACATACATACATACATACATACATACATACATACATACACATACATACATACATACATACATACATACATACCATACCATACCATACCATACATACATACATACATACATACATACATACATACATACATACATACATACATACATACATACATACATACATACATTACATACATACATACATACATACATACATACATACATACATACATACATACATCATACATACATACATACATACATACATACATACATACATACATACATACATACATACATACATACATACATACATACATACATACATACATACATACATACATACATACATACATACATACATACATACATACATACATACATACATACATACATACATACATACATACATACATACATACATTACATACATCCATGAAACGCATTCAAATATGTGTGGAAGAATGGCATCTGCTCCCCCCCTTGAAATACTCAGGTTTTTAGCCAGAACTCAGGTTTTGACGGGACTCTAAGCTGAATTGGCAGGACGTGCAACCCCATGCAAAGTCCAGAAGTTAAGCTCAACGTTCAAAAGAAGTTCCTAGTTAAACAGCTCCAAAGTCACATTGACGTACGCGAGCTGCACTTAAAGTCACATTGGAGTATGCAAAGTGCACAGCTCAAAAAGCACAACTGTTAAGCACGCAAAGCATGCTTGGGCAGCTTCACCGTGCCTGTAACAGCACCATCACTTCGTTCTACGTTTTTGTTTCACAAAAATTCAGCAAATCATCAACTTGGGGGAAAGGAAGACAATCCTACTTGCAACTGACATCCAAATCAAAAATTCAAGTGCTTCATGGCCTGTCGCAGTTTGCATTTGCATGTCAATTCATGTTTAGTGCATGATTCCATATACATTCCAACTAGATGTATTTAAAGAGAAATTGTAAAGCCGCTATCTCAGTTGTGTGTTATTTGTCCAATACAATTCAATCATTGGTAACAACTATTGCACTGCAAATTTTAGAAGGATGTCCAATATAAAATGACTTCGAGTTCAAACCAAATTCAGCTTCAACCAGTTGCAGCTTCTTGTGCGTTGTAAAGCACAATTGGAGAACACAGCTATTGTCGTGGCCAGAAGAAAAAAAAAGAAGCTCAATTCCATAAGGGTTATTGCCCTTATCTGACTCCATGTGGTTTTATGCAACAAGATTCCACATAAATCGCTTTAGAACATCCTCAATCCTGGCCCCCAAAAAAGCTTGACAGCTTTCCACCTGCATTGAAGATTGAAGATCTCCCAGATTTTGTGTTGTAAGAATCGCCCATCCTGGCCAGCCCTCAGGTCCCCAAAAAAATGTAGCGTCAAAAAAGCATGTTTCCCCCCTGGCAAAATGCAGGCGGGCACATCCACAACTTGACTACTGGAACGTGCGCTCCTTGCTTGCCTTTTCATCCTGGATTGAAGATTGAAGATTCTCTGACAACTCTTTCTGGGATTCTTCAAATCTGCACTTAGGGCCTACTGGTACATCCTGGATTGAAGATTGAAGATTTAAGATTATCAGACATTAATTCTGGAAACCTTTAAATCCATACTTGGGACAAACTAATATGTGCTAGCACGTGCTAGCATGTCCTGGATTGCACTAAGTAACTGATGAAGGCGTGCATGTTTAGCATCGTTTTAGAAGCTGGACAGTGCATATCTATATGCAACACCTTGATTGTTTGGACAACAATCTGAGTAGTCCAGCGGGGGTATACCACATATGTATATATATATATATATGTATGTAATGTGTATATATGTGTATATATGTATTATTTTGTGACTAGTGTCTGCATAGGTCATGCTAATTCATGCCCTCATGGTTTAAAGCTTCTTTCCGAAGGCAGCCAACAATTGGGAAATCCCGCCGCTCCGAACCGGCCACGGGGCAGCCGCACAATGTTGCCCTCCCGGCAGTCTCCGATCAAACCTCGGGCGGCTTGGGGAAAATGTGCACTTTTTTTGGAGGGTGACAACCAAGGGTACCCCAAATAAGGCCCCCACCCATATCAACACGTTGGGATTGCCCAACGACTGTTTGCTCATCAACGTCAATCTCACCCTCCCCCTATTTTCGGTAGGTCATTCCAGGAATGCCTCTGCCAGCGAATTGCTGGTTGTCTAATCGCATTTGTGTCCAATGTGGCCAGGCGCATCGCACCTGGCTTATCAAAAGCTGGCCCATGCTGAAGACGTAGATGAAAATCCGGCAGGCAAAAATGCCGATGCGCTCCGCCTCGGTTTGGTTGCTCTTTGGGCGTTCCAGGCGTTTGAAACCGCTGGCTTGGCCCCCCTCTTCAAAGATGCGCATACACAACGGTTGTTTGAACAGTCGTGTCCCTCTAAAATAGGGGCCAGGCTCTCCTTGCTAGTGTGGTCGTTAATTCCTCTTTTGAGCCATCATTGTGCCATGTCACCATCTGCACCACCAATAGAAAAGTTGCAATGATAAGAATCCGGAATTCCAGTCTCCTTTTTCATATCTTATCTACTAGTGTTGCATTCATAATATGTGTATCTATTGCTTTTCATGCTTACATTACCCCTTCATCCACTTTTATACCTTCATCATGCTGTTATCTCATGTTCTATTTACAACTTATGTAGAGCATGTATCTTGACCATTTCAAACTGGATTGTTAATGTCTTCATATCCAGGCGCTTCTACTATACTAGTTCTACTTTAGAACCTTGGAAATGATAAAGCATGCAATGATGAATCGACTTGACCAACAAGCGATGGCTCTCATCTGACGTGAAATCGGAGTTCATGATTGAGGCTATAGGCTCATGATGCTTTTCGTGTCTTCCCGTCTAGGCAACATCATGGTTGTACCCAGTTGTCAAAACAAAGGAGAGAGTGCTCGCATTGCGTCTCAAAACTGGGGCGCCCAATCATTAAGTGCCTCTCAAAGTTCCATGCCAACATCAAACTCGAGCCGGTCTCATGCGACTATTCCGCGCAGCTTGGTTCCACACTTTTTGAAACTTGTCCGGGGTCAACGGTCAAACCAACAGGGGCCCAAATGCTGTCCAAGGCTTGCCGGGGCCGCTTTGCCCAAAAGGGTCCCAAGTTTCGACTCTCACACGCTCCAACCCAGCCCTCAGGGGACAAGCGGCATCCGACTGGCTGGCCGGGTCCTGGTGCAACTGTGGCAGCACAGACTGGCCGGTGATGAACACCGCCAGGGAGAAGAGGAAGTAACACCTGCGAACGCTTCCAAGTGGATTCACCAAGAAAAAGACCAAATTGTTTGTTTAACACCAAAACGGTCTTGAAAAAGCTTAAGTCCAGGAACTCAGAGGTGGGGAGAAGGCCTGAAGCTGGCCTGGGCCATGTGTGCAGGTTGAAGAGAAGCAACACCAAGTCCTCAAATGTCCCTTATGGAGAAAACCTCATGGTTAGTTTGTCTCCCTCCAATCATGGAAGTGATCGAAACGCCTTGTGTAACGGCGGTGGTGCTCGCAGAAGCTTGCCTTGCCTTTGGATGCAATGCCGCGGGGCAGAGTCCGCACAGCAGAATCAAAGCAAAGCACGAAGCTGTCGGGAAGCTTCAAAAACCCCTCACTTGCTCACTATTCGTGCTTAGCCCTTTGATGCGCCCACAAAACTTTGGGAGTTTGACGGGTGTCTTTTCTGATGAGGGTGCCCTTGTAGTAGTGTTCAATTGAAATCAAAGGGTACCTGTTTGGGTGTCGCTTTCCATGGAAACCAAACGACCATCCATTTTCTGCATGGGGGGGGTTCATTTTAAGGCGGTGAAGCCCAGGACCGGCAGAAGGGCCGGCCTGCCCAGCAGGAAGGAGTGGCCCGCCAGGCCCGACCAGAGCATGTCGGAGAAGAGCACCACCACGTCGTGGCAAATGATCTTCGGGTCCTGACCTGGCGGTTCGAACATGTTCCCTTCGGTTGCCCTTGAATCAAAGGCTGGTTGCTTCAACACATGTTGCCCAAGGAGGACGGTGGCCAAGGCTCAGTCTGGGGAGCGGACAAAGTGAAATTTGACAGATATGGGATGATACGGAAGTTGCCACAATTGGCAAGAAGAAACTATTGAATAAGGTTGGCGACTCCTGATACATTGTCAACACTTCTACTGGTTGCCAAGCCCCCCCAGGATGGCAAAAAATATGGCACCAAGTTCGCACTCGTTGGCCAACCTGAAGACTCATGCTAGTGGCTGTCTCAATCTCTGCACTTGGGAAAGTCTGACCTACATCTTGCCGCAAGCCTCAACACTCCTTCTTAAGTGCCTCTACTGAGTCACTGACTGATTGACTGACTGACTGAGTGACCGACCGACCGACCGACCGACCGACCGACCGACCGACCGACCGACCGACGGACTCACTCACTCACTCACTCACTCACTCACTCACTCACTCACTCACTCACTCACTCACTCACTCCCTCCCTCCCTCCCTCCCTCCACTCCCTCACTCACTCACTCACTCACTCTCACTCCCTCACTCCTCTCCCTCACCTCACTCACTCACTCACTCCTCTCCTCCCTCCCTCCCTCCCTCCCTCCTCCCTCCTCCTCCCTCCTCCCTCACTCCTCCCTCCCTCCCTCCTCTCACTCTCTCACTCACGCACTCACTCACTCACTCACTCACTCACTCACTCACTCACTCACTCACTCACTCACTCACTCACTCACTCACTCACTCACTCACTCACTCACTCACTCACTCACTCACTCACTCACTCACTCACTCACTCACTCACTCACTCACTCACTCACTCACTCACTCACTCACTCACTCACTCACTCACTCACTCACTCACTCACTCACTCACTCACTCACTCACTCACTCACTCACTCACTCACTCACTCACTCACTCACTCACTCACTCACTCACTCACTCACTCACTCACACTGGCTTCAGAGTAGAGCACCTCGCCAACAAGCTGGCTAGAATCCTGCAACATTGGTTGCCCTCAAGTGCGCCCGTGCGCATTGCTGAACTGACTATGCTTGTGTCAAGCCTCATTAGAAGGACATCGCTCTTTCCTACTCTGAACAATGCTATCCAGAATGAATGGCTGAGAAATGCGGAACCATCACATGGTTTCGTCCATCTGAGATCGCAAGCTTGCCATTCTTTCGGCTGAGAACTGCCCCGGCCTTCCACAATCCACCCCAAGGCTGAGTTGAAGTACCCCTCGGAATCCTGGACCAAGTGCTTCACGTAGTAATTCACCTGAGAGAAGCTCGGCAAGGACTCTGTCGAATGGGAACCCCCCTCCCCAGCCCATATGCAAGGGAGGCTGTCCCAAACCCATTGCGGGGGCATTCTGATCGCTTGCGATCTCCAAGAGAAAGGCATCATGGCAAAACAAATGCATCTGATGCATGTGTCTATCTTGTTCCCCATCCTCGTGGCTTTGTTGTGCATAATTAATGCAACGACCACGGCAGAAAAGTTCAAGACGACTTCTGTTGATCAAGACTTCCTTTGATTACAAGCCACCAAGCTGACAGCTTCATTCTAGATCCCAAACGTGGTTCCTGTATCACAAGTGAGGTCGTCCACACTTCGCATCGCCAGATCCAACCGGTCCTTAAGCCAAGGAGCGCGGCGCTGGCCGTTGTAGATGAGCCGGGAGCGCCAGATAAGACCGTCCAGCAGCGTGGGCAGCAGGTTCGGGGCATCGCTGTTCAGCTTGTGGATGATCTCTGGGTGCCGGAGGAAAAGCTGATCGCAGCCTAACCGCGAATCAGCGAACAGGCGAATCGAAGTAAACAAAAAATGGATTCTGGTATCTCTGTGCGTGCACTCCTGGTGCCATGCATATGCTTAGTACTTGATGGACGAACTCCTTCTACCTATGTTGCTTGCAAATCCCCGCCACAAAAGACTTAAACAAAACCTACCCAGGTGTCCAAAGGCTTGCTCTGTCATCTTCAGATCTGCTCCCGGTCTCCCTTCCATCAAGACCAAAAAGTGACCATGCAAAGGACAAAATTCAGAAAGATTAGGGAGCAAACCTCAAACCGAATTGCTTCCGGAGGTTCTGCACCAATGTCTCCGGAATGAATTGGAAAAACATGCCCGTGACAAGCGATTGAGCAGCCCAAGCGCCCAACTCTCAAAGAAGGAATTCCCAGGGGAGAAATTCCAACTGGAGAATTCCCAACGAAAATTAATCCCCGGGGATCGCCAAAAGTGTCTAAATTCCGGAGCTTGAAGAAGATGCCAGGCACGGGGCCGTAGTAATAGTTGTCTCGATCTGCTCTGATCACCAGGAGGTCCTGAAAGCGGCCCAAGTTGAGAGTCTCACCTACGCAATCGTCACAGAAACATGCTACCCTGTCTCGTACTGTGGCGTCGAACCCCGCCACTCACATGGATGTTTCCTGAAGCAGGGGACTTCTCCAATGTAGCAGGCTTCAAGCGCCAAATGTGTCAGACACCACAAAATTGGTCGGGTGCAGCTTAGCCCCTTGACACATTCGTCAAGGCCGCAGACAATCTCTCGGCTGCAAAAGGTGGATGCCTGGCTCTCAAACGAGCTTGGCTCCAAAGGCTTGGGGTCCCTTCAGAAAACCAACAGCGCTGCCCATGTTTGCTTGACTAGATTCTGTGCTCTTGAGCCAAAGCAAGCAGCGCTCCGTATGCCTTACAAATGTCGTCCGCAGACCCTGCCACCCGAAACAGTGGCAATGCTTGGGGATGCTGTAGGAGTTGCTCCAGGGCAGCTTTCACGGGGAGGGAGTGGATGTGTGAAAAGTAGGAAAGTACAAGCCCTGGTACACCCAATTCGAAAAAAAAATAAATTCGGGAGCGTGTTGGCGATCTGTGTCGCTAAACTGCTTTGCGCTGTTGCGCTGCTGCGCTGCTCGCTGCTGCGCTGATGACTTTGCGCCGCTCTGCTGTTGCGCTGCTGCGCTGCTTTTCTGCTGCACCGCTGCGCTGTTGCGCCGCTGAAGCAGCCTCCGTTGACGTGCGCCGCTGCGCCGTTGAGCTGCTGCGCCGTTCCGCTGTTGCGCCGTTGCGTCGCTGCACCGCTGCGCCGTTGCGCCGCTGAGCCGCTGCGCCGTCGCGCCGCTGCGCCGTTCGCGGTTGCGCTCTTGCGCCGTCGCGCTGCTGCGCCGTTGCGCCGCTGCGTCCTTGCGCCGCTGCGCCGTTGCGCCGCTGCGCCGTTGCGCCGCTGCGCTGTTGCGCGGTTGCGCGTTTGCACCGCTTCGCTGTTACGCCGTTGCGCGGCTGCGCTGCTGCACTGCTGCGCCGCTGCGCCGTTGCGCCGTTTTGTCGCGCCATTGCGCTGTTACGCTGTCGCGCCTTGGCGCATTTGCGCCATTGCGCTGTTACGCCGTTGCGCTGTTGCGCCGCTGCACTGCTGCGCTCCGCCGTTGCGCTGCCGCGACGTTCTGCTGTTGCACCACTGCGCTGTTGCGCTGCCGCGCCGTTGCGCCGTTCCGATGTTGCGATTATCCTACCATATCCTGCCGTATGCTGTCCAATCCTGTCTTATCCTACCTTCTCCCATCTTCTCCTATCGTATCCTATCCTCTTCCATGTGTCTATCTATCTATCTACATAGCTATCTATCGAGATATCATATCTGTCCTATCTTTCCTGTCTGTCCTTTTTGTCTTGTCGTATCAAGCCTATCTATGTTGTCCATATTACCTATCTGGTCTATCTGTTGTGTCTTATCTGCCTTGTCTATCATATCGATCATATCTATACGACCTACCTTATCTACCCTACCTACCAAATCTTATCTTATTATACATTATCCTGTCTTATCCTGTCTTTCCTATCGTATCCTGTATTGTCCTATCTTATCCTATATTATCCTGTAGTATCCTATCTTGTCCTATATATCCCATGTTGGCCTATCTTGCCGTGTCTTATCCTATCTTAGCCTATCGTATCCTTTGTATAAGTCGAATTATCTATCTATAATACATCTATCTATACATCTATGTATCAGTCAATCCTGTCTTGCCCCATCTTATCCTATCTTACCCTATCTTACCCGACCTTATCCTATCTCATCCTACCTTACCCAAAATAATCCTATATTATCCTATCTTACCCCGTCTTCTCCATGTCTTATTCTGCATGTCCCTATCTTAACCTATCTCATCCTATGTGCCTATCTATCAATCTACCAGCCTACCCAGCTATCCTATCTATCCTATCGTTCCTATCTATCTCATCGTATCGCTCTTATCTATCATATCATATCTACCTTATCGACATGACCTACCTTGTCTTGTCTTATCATATGTTATCGTGTCTTACCCTATCTTAAGTTATCTTTCCTGCTTTGTCCTATCTTATCCCATCGCAGCCCTCGCATCCTATCTTACCCCATATTATCCTACCTTATCCTGCCTTACCCTATCTTGACATATCTTACCTTATCTTACCCAATCTTTTCCTATGTATCTATCAATCTATCTACCTATCTATCCTGTCTCCCCTGTGTGTCCCATCTTTCCTATCTATCTCATCGCATGTAGCTTATGAATCGTTTCTATCCTACCTATCTGATCTATCTTATCTCTTACCTGCCTGATCTATCTTGTCTATCATGTCTATCCTATTTATCTTCTCTACCTTGTCTACCTTCCCTACCTTTACATTATCCTGTCTTGGCCTACCTTAACCTATCTTATATTACCGTATGCTATCTTACTCTGCCTTATCCCATCTTGTCCTACCTTACCCCATGTTAGCCTATCTTGCCGTGCCTTATCCTATCTTATCCGACCGTAGCCTATCTTATCCTATGTGTCTATCTGTTTATCTATCATCTATCTATCCTATCTATCTGATTTTCTCCTAACTACCATATCTACCCTATCTTTCCTGCTTGTCCTCTTTATCTCATCGCGTCTATCTTATCTATTTGTCTTGTCTTATCTACCTGATCTACCTTACATGGCTTATCTACCTTGTCTATCATATCTATCACATATATATATATATCTATATATGTGCTATCTACCTTATCTATCCTAGCTGCCTTATCTGATCTTATCACAAATTGTCCTGCCTTATCTTATCTGAGCCTATCTTATCCTGTATTTTCCCGTCGTATCCTATCTTATCATGTCTGATCCCATCTTATCCTGTCTTATCCCACGTTGGCCTAGCTTACCGTGTCCTATCCTATCTTGCCCTATGTACCTATCGATCTATCTATGTTATCTCTGAGACTGCTGGGGCTCAAAACACAAGTGATTGAAACATATTATTAACAACAAAAACGCAGCGAACACCTGCGAAAACCACGAAAACGCGAACACCGCGAAAGCCCCCAAAACCGCCAAAACGCGAAAACCGCGAAAACCACGAAAACCGCGAAAACCGTGAAAACGCGAACACCGCGAAAACGCGAAAACCGCACAAACATCGATTTTCTGGGTTCTTTGGGCTTTCTCGGTCTTCTAGGTTCCCTCTGTTTTCACGGCTTTCTCGGTTTTATCGGTTTTCTCTGTTTTCCAGTTTTCTTGGTTTTCTCGGTTTTCCGGCTTTCTCGCGCAAATCCGGTTAGCTCCGTGTCGCTCAAAACGATTGCTTAGCAAGCTTGGCTGCCATCAGGTTTTCGCCTTCAAGCAAAGGAGGCAACCTACCTTTCTTTAAAGTGAGGTTTGCCCTCATAAACATGACATTTAGGCTGCTCATGCTATCTGAAGTACTCGGGAGTCAGTTAGCGATCGGGAACTCAGCTCTTAAAACGACCAAACTCGCTCTAGGAGAAACGGCCAATCGAGCGAAGCAACGGAGCAACGGAGCGGGGCAACGCAGCGCAGCAACGGAGCAACAGAGCGAGGCAGATCCGCGCAACAACGGGCCAACGGAGCAGAGCAACGGAGCAACGGAGCAGAACAGCTTTGCGGAACAGCGGGGGAACGGAGCGGAGCAACGGAGCAACGGAGCAACGGAGCAACGGAGGGAGCAACGGAGCGGAGCAACGGAGCAACGGAGCGAAACAGCTTTGCGCCACCACGGGGGAACGGAGCGGAGCAACGGAGCAACAGAGCGGAGCAACGGAGCGGAGCAACGGAGCAACGGAGCGAAACAGCTTTGCGCCACCACGGGGGAACGGAGCGGAGCAACGGAGCAACAGAGCGGAGCAACGGAGCGGAGCAACGGAGCAACGGAGCGAAACAGCTTTGCGGCGCAACGGGGGACGGAGCGGAGCGGAGCAACGGAGCAACGGAGCGAAACAGCTTTGCGGAACAACGGGGGAACGGAGCGGAGCAACGGAGCAACGGAGCGAAACAGCTTTGCGGAACAACGGGGGAACGGAGCGGAGCAACGGAGCAACGGAGCGAAACAGCTTTGCGGAACAACAGGGGAACGGAGCGGAGCAACGGAGCAACGGAGCGAAGCAGGTTTGCACGACACGCTTTGCCAACGCTCTGAAATTCGGAGTTCCTAGTTTTGACACGTGGCCATGTCTGCATCCCGACGCGTGTCCTCAAGCATGGCCTTGGCCGTGTTGAGGCTTCCGCTCTCGATGGCCCAATACAGCGGCGAGATGGACCTTGCGCGACGCGGGCTCGGCGCTTCAAGTTCTCACAGGCTCGACTGGCTCTCCCTGCAGTCACTTCGCAGAACCTCACTCCCGGCCCAACCCCCGCTCACTCCTTTGAGCAACGGTGCTGAGTGCCCACCGTGATGTTGAGCAGCTCCGAGGCACCTCGCGAGAGTGGGGGGCGGGGCGCTGAGGCTCGGTTCAAAACTGAGAAAACCATCGCAACCCAAAGGATTGCTAAGAGCATCTGCAAAGGGCTTGGTGATGGAGCAAGTGAGCACAACTCATTGGTTTTCTTGACTGTTGCACCTGTTGCACCTGGACAGGTCAAACAGAATTTATATTCCTGACATTCCTAGATGGCAGATGCAAGGCCCGAAGGACGCAAAGCACTGCCTGAGTCGAGTTGCGCTTACCACGAGGCGACACCGAGATGGCTTTCTTCAGCTGCTTTGCATCGTTGGTGTTGATGGCCTTCGCATCGCTGTGAGGCCACTTTTTCTGAAGCATGTGTCCACATGAGCAACGACAAATCTTGGCATATTTCCGCAACAGAACTTTTTCTGGTGTGTGAGTACTTTGGGTGGTCCCCCATATCCTCCCCATAACAAAGACCACCAACAAATATTCGTGACTTGCCTGAGCAACTATATTTGTCATTCGCCCGCCTTCATCACAATGGTCGAGCCCTCCAAGATCGTTCGGACCTGCGAGCACCGGAATTCCAGCCGCGAAAAGCGCTGGCTCTGCAGTCAAGCGGCCAAAATCTTGGAGACCAGAGTCAGCGACCACCGGAAGGCTTCTTGAGCAAGTTCCTGGACCCGCAAGATAGAATGAGATGGAAGTGTTGCTCCGGACATGTCATATTCCGCGATCAGAACTGAGATGTTGTTCCTGGCTCCCTCAACAATCACAATCATGAACCCTTAGGATGCTTATTGATGAGGATGCCAAGGGCTGATGACCATCCCTCTCGACCTCAAGTCACGTCTATTTGTCCATTGCCTCCCGTACCAGCTTGCAACCCCCGTCCTCCGGATCAATGGATTTCACTGCATCCACTGCCGCAGACCTGGGCTGTGCGGAATCATCCTGACAGCCGCAAACGGGTACCCCTTTGCAAAAGCCCACTCGTGGAGTAAAAACCTCCCAGAGAATTAACGCCTCCCAGGAAAGAAGTGACCCTCAAAATGGCTGTCTACCCAATGTTCAAGGGTTGCTGGCTGTCCTGCTTGACTTCCAACAACCGAGTCTCTTTGGCCACCAACCATCTCCAAGCAAAGACCATGACAGTTCCCATGTGACAGTTGGCATGTAAAAAAGCAGGAAATCAGAAGCCAACCATAGGGGAACCTCCAAATGACGCGCTATCAAAGCCAAGCCGGACCGGAGTCTCTCTGAGCGGCACAAAGGGCGCGAAGAACTCCGTGGGGATGCCATAGCCAACATGCCGCAAGCCCAGCGCCGAGATGTCCTGCGGGCGTATTTTGTCCTTTTTGTCCTTTTTGGGTTTGGGCCTGCAATATCTGGAAGTGTCCCTGGACGCGATGGTTGTGAAGAGGTGCATAGCCCAATCGATCGCAGCTTCCCGCTCCTCAACCAGCTTCTTTGGGACTCGGTACATCTCAGTGGTCATTTCCTGGGCACGGTGGGTGGTGTGTACCTTAAGGCAAATGTTGAATGTTCGGTCAAGCGTGGTACATTGGGGTTGCACTTGCTTGGTTCAGTGGACCAAGAAAAACCCTCCGCGGATCTTTCAAACTTGTGAGGATGCTATCACACAAAAGCGTCTGGATTGCCCCCGAACAGACTTTGCTGCTCGAACCCTGGCAACTTGGCGCAAGCCTCGCAACCAAGCTGTGAGCCCAGCCTTGCCCCAATAGCAACTTCGAGGCCTAACCGGTATAGAAAGGCTTTTGAATAGGGCACTACCTCAATGGTCGTTGGTGGATATCAATCCCCCTGTACATGATGTCCCAAGGGACTCAAATTTCGCATAGAGAGGCAAAGGAGATGGGCCTGGGGCCCCCTGCCATGACTTTGTCAGCGATCCAGTAGAGCCGGGTGGTGGACTGCTTGAAGTGGTCCTTCGCAGGAATCTTGCAAGGCCTTGTCTTACTTGTATACATATGTACGTTCTACACACATATCTATGTATTGCATACACATTTTATTTCTGCTAAAACAAGGAGAGAGAAAAGTGCATATACAAATATATATATATATATATATGTATATATATATATATACACATACATGCACATCGGTGGTTGTTCAAATGCCGATTGAAGGGCTGGTGGCTGGCGCGGATGTCCAGCCCTGACAACCCAAAGTAAATATGTATGTATAATATATATATATATATGTATGCATATCGTGATCAGACTTTGGCACAAATGGGTCTGGCAATGACTTGGTCTGACCCTGGGCAAGGGCCTCCAATGGCTGTGAAATCGAAGGAAGCCAACAATCACCATCCATTTTATGGCGCCTGCGCTAGCATGGCTTGGTGACTGACAACCGGATATTTGTTTGACCTAAAGATTCGAGCACATAAGATGTGAGTTGCTGCAAAAGCGCCACGTTCGTCGTTCACTCAAATCAATCCGAACTCTCGAGTCCGTCACTTCAACCCATCCCTAGGGAAACGTCGAAAAATCCTCCGGGGCCCCTGAAACGATACCAGGGTAGACCCAAGTGCCGGGTCAGTCTCCCGCCTGCCCCGCCGGCGCCAGGGTGAAGAACCTGCAACCATGCAACCCTCCACCCATCAGAATCAGTAGTGTGCCACAAATTTCCACACCCTCCATGCCTGAGTGCTTTTGGGGCGAATTGTGCCATCCAAAGGACCTCCTGTTGCATGGTTGGGCTGAGCCCAATTCTGAACTGAGGGCAAGGCAATCGACATGAACACAATCGAGAAGCTTCTGAAGTTAACAAGCATCCCTGAACCCAGGCTCTCGGCCTTTTGTAGATCTCCCTGCGCAAGTAGATCAGGTTGTCCTGCTTGCATCGGCTGACCAACAGCATGGGAACCACCAACAACCATGGATTGCCGGCACAAAGTCTGTCGTGTTGCGCTGTTCACAAAAGGTACGAACTTTGAACTCGCCTACCTAAGCAGGAACTTGATCAGGCTGGATTGACCAGCAAACCACCAAGCAGGCACCAAACCGTTCAGTTCCTCCGAACCCATCACGCCATGCCCCATCACTCATCAAGCCCTCCCTGCCCTCCCCCGATCGAGCGGCCTCTGTGAGGCACATGATCATGTGCTCCAACGCCTTCTGTTGCGCTGCGGGCTTTCCCATCTGGGACCTCAACATCCTCTCCTCAAGGCAAACGTGCAGAGAGATGGAAGGCGTTACGTTTCTTACATAGCACACGCAAAAAAGCACACACACACACACACACACACGCGCACACACACACACACACGCACACACCAGTCCAATCTATCGTGAGGTGCAAAGCCCCCATCCCAACTCAAAAGATGAGCCTTCTCCAAATCAACCTTTTGCCATATCCCGATGTGACCTGGGCTTGCTTGTTTTCCGGCTCCGAAGCCAAACGCGCAAACTGTCAGCAAGGAACGGCTTGCTTGGCTCTGGAAGGAGCCTGCCCCCGTTTTGCTCTGGAGCTGGCCGATCCCGCTGTATGCAGCCTAGCATCCACGTTCTCCCAGAACCAATTCCAGGCCACCTCGTGCGCAGAATCCCA